GACTAAACTTTGTCTTTATTTCAGTAAGATATTAAGAATACTTGGATTTGTTATATAATTTAAGAACTTTTTATACCCTTTATATATCAAATTTAATAATTAACTTGAGGATTAATAAATAATAAATTGTTTTTATAAAACTATTGAAAATAAAGATACTATTGGTTAATCGTTTTATAAAATCTATATATCATAGATTAATTGTATTTTCTGGTTTTTTTTCAGCTTTTCTTTGTTTTTATTGATAATAAATTATATCTGAGTGGCTATTAATGCTATTTTGTAGATCTATTCGAAATCAATCCAATTATTGCCATTGAAGATTCTAATAGATTTTTAGCAAATTTATATAATACCTATAGGATTTGTTATTGTAATGAAATAAAACTTTATTGAAAAATCAGAGTTTTCATATCTAATAAAAGGGTTTTTATATAAGGTAAAAAGAGAATTATCCTTTTTATTATTTATTTGTAAATATATTAATCGATATATTAATGTAAATATTGATTAATATAGGATTATGATCTATTAAAATATCATTAAGATTATAATAGGTATAATAATAATAATATTATATATGTGTATTCTTAGAGGTATTCTAGTAGTATTGGATATATGTATAAGTATGTGAGGCATGTGTATATAGACGATGTCACGTGAACTGTATCACGTGACCTTGTGTGACTCTGTACTGCACTTCCAACAATAATATACTGCATACTACTCGAGTACAACACATACATTATCAACATGAAGTATTGAATCACTATGTATCCTCGTAGTTATTCTCATAGTTATTTGATATATACATACCGGTAGTCACTGCCTAATAGATAAGTCCGCATCATGTATTGTATTGTATTGTATTACTGTTACTAATAGACATATTGATAACTAGATATATATACACATATACCCAGTAATCACCAGTAAAAACATAATATAACGCGAACGAACCTCCAGCTTCCAACTGTACATCTAAAGTTTTAAAACTAAACCCTAAACCCTAATCTCTAAATTTAATTCTTGCAATGCAACGACCGGGCCGGGCTGGGTTTCAAATTCGGAATTGGAACTTATTTGAAATCGCTGGGTTAGTAGAAGTACTAGTACCACATAGTTCGGCTTCGATGCGAAAGGGTTTTGAGTTTGGGACTCGGGGGAGAGTACTCGAGTAGAGAAAGGAATGTTGAGGGATATTTTGGATTGAGGTTGATAAATGAAAATTTATTTTTTAAAGCTAGAAAGGAAATGAACGACAAATTTATGATCTCTGATCTACAATCTATGATCCGATCGACTACTATCAGAATCCTTGAACACACTCGTTAAATTTGATATTTCCCCTCTCCCCCTTTTCAATTCCTCTCCTCCCCCTTGTTTTCTCTAGCGAATGATTTTGTTAGGAGTAGAATGCATCATACATCACCATCCATATACATGAAACTCATTTCTGTACATTCCAAAATACAAAACATATAATAACACAATACAATACACACTAACACCCATTAACAAAATCCCCAGCACATAAAACCATCACAGCCATTTCCAACCACTGTAGTAAATCAAGCTATGTATCAAAAGACTGTACTCGTGTATAACTATAACATTCCGAGTCCGGGTTCAGGTCCGACTCAATACCCGACTGAAAAAGGGGTTGGTTCAACCTTTCAACTTCGCTTAAAACAACGCCTTACTTGTTTGATAAGACTACTATTACAATTACAATTACGGATACAAACATAGATATAATAGAGGTATAGCGAGGTTGAGATTATTTTGTTTTGGTTTGTGTTTAGGAGGGATTTGCGATAGAAATAGGAATAGGAATAGAAAGGGGTTGATACCAATATGTAGATATGAAAGAAGAGGATGGAATATAAAGAAAAGAACAGAAAAGAAAAAAGGTGTGTAGTGTAGTGGTTAGCGATGTAGTAATATAGATGTTATGTTACGAGTGGATGGGATGGGGTTGTAGGGGTAGAGATCGGTTACTACATACGCATGTGATTTGAGAGGTTTGTTTGTGTATACATAATATGAGGAAATTTCGATGGTATATAGAATATAGGGTTAGGATTATGGAAAGAGAATATCAATTGTAAGAGGAAGTAACAGGATACGGGAGTACCGTAAATGAAGCTTTTGATGTACAGCATGAAATGATTGAAGAAGGGATAGAAATGAATGTAAAGGGAGCTATATAAGAGTTCTACTGTGCATTGTACATTGCTGATGACCTTTCCTGTGCACTTGCAATATTCTCTGCATCTCCTGATAGCTATCATCCTTTGGGTGGGCTTTGATGTCTTCTCCGATTTCTTAACACCACCACGGCAGTCCATCCACTATGCATATAAATTTCAACCACCTTCTCCTAAGTGGGTTAAAGTGCAAGATGGACTTTGAAGAACGACTTAAGAATGAATTCAAACCACCTAATTGTTGTTGAGTAGGTAATATTCAATGCAATAGATGGATATCATGAATGGTTATCCAGATCAGACAGATTGGATGGATGCGCATATCATCATGCATCCGAATTATTGTCCCCCCCTATTAAACTAATATATAGGAATCCCGACTGGTGGAAGAAACATCCAATCGTATAAAGTTGACCCAGATACCCACAACCCATGCCACCTTCCTCGAACCAATATCCGTATTCGTGGTGGTCCATTTGCGCCATGTTTCCATATTCCTCACTACATCCATCCTTTACTGACATATCCTTGCCTGTCATTCCCTCCTTTTAGATTCTGTATTGTTCGTATATAAGTTCTCACTCGGAGAAATTCGCATCAGGCATAATCGTATGGATAGGATAGCAAATCGATGCAATATCTGTTCGTACGTCTCATTAGCCTCTATTCAATCAATATAGAATAAAATATTTACCCCAAACCAATTCGCTTTGACTCTCACCCGTCGCATTGTGTAAACTTAAATTCGGTAGTATCTTCCCAAGTTTTGATCGTTCACTATTCCGTAGTTGGGGCGATGAGGGCAAATTTCGTATCAAAGCCTCCAGCGGAAATTTCCAACATGGATTTGACCATCGCCTACCCGCCTACCTCGATAATAGTCAACTTTGTAGTGAGTTTCAAAACATCTGCGGCGCCAATTGGTAAACCTCAAAATGGTTGTATTTTTGGCATGAATTGATTGTCTGCTGAATATAGACTGGCCTCTCAATGAGTTTGTGTCCAAGATACTGAAGACAGCTAAGCCATATCAAATGGAATTGGATATTAAGCCATATTTTCGAATTCATCCTTATATATATATATGTCGGAAAGATTGTCTGTCACCTTGGCAGGGACTTGTGGATTGTTTATTGTGGGCGTGAACATATTGGGGGTTCGTAATGTGTTTACGAGGCTGATGACGATAAATATGAATGAGGATCTCTTATGTACTGTATTGTAAACATTAGTTGATGGAATTAGAAGATCTTTGATAGTAAATAGTAAATAGAGATTTCTGTAAGTTGAGCGATGCGATCAGTGTTGTCCCGTCATACCCGTCGTACCGGCACAAATACCGGCAACCCAGTACTGAATAAAAGCTTGGCGGGTGGTAAGCGAACCGCAACTCATCGTTGCTCATACACATTAACACAACTCAACACCATTTACTTGAATATTTATACGACATTCAATTTCCATAGGCTTTGTTGATTCGCGCTTATACTTTGAGGATTGACGTGGGAAGGATGAACTTATCTTATACCCTTCAAATTTATGGACACTTCATCAAATCGAATGGTTCTGGACCTCAAAAGTTCAAATTGATGCAGTCTAGAAATAGCAACAAGGCTTTGCTAGTTGCTCCACCACTCCACCCAAACAAGGATCTCCTGACTTCTTTTTGTGGCGATATTGTTCTCTTCCTTCATTCAATTGGATGGTCGTGATATTACTGTTGGCGGAGATGTTCCACCCGTATCTTGCCTGTGGCTTCTGTATGTACAGCATCTACATGAGCCGCAACTCTAACATAATATCGATAGGGGGATTTCGAAGTTGCATCCCAAGCAGAGAATTGTAGCATTACATACTGCAGGTGTGTAAGAGATGAAAAATACAAGCATGGATTCAACCAATCAACTATCTACTTCTAGATACTTTCTGGATAGTAAAATTGAAACAAATTACTAGTTTCATCGACAAATATCACCAGCTAAACTGATCAACGTGCCAAGGCCCGTACGGAGATGCCATCCTGTTCAATCTCAGGAACCAGACTACTTCAGGCATGATAGTTGACTATTCAGCGAAGGTGGCAGCGAGTAGAATAGGATAAACCATGATGCTAAAACTAAAAGGGTAACGTTTGGGATCTAAATCCGAAACTAATTGGACTTAGAATCAACGAAATGACTTTACCAATCCATCACCAACGATCCCCGCATATTAGTCGATCACAACCGAAAGAAGCTTTCCCTGTCGATATGGGTGGACCGAGTTAATAGCTTGAAGGTCGAATAGTCAGAGGAATGGAGGTAAGATGTTATGGGTTTGTTCTCCTTAAGTGAATATTTCCCTGACGTGTATTTCACGTCATACATCTTTTATTTTCTCCTTCCTGTTTTTCATTTTGCTTTGATATCCAAGTCAAGTCATTTTCTTAAGATATTTGTATATTGCACTTCAAAATAGAAGGCTGCACATATCGCGTTGGATCTATGTGAGAGTCAACCTTTTTTCCTATTCATAGAACCCATCACAACTGTTAGCTTTACGGAACGATCAGGTATTGTCAATAGAGCAACTCTTTTCCCCATGATGGTAGCCAAGGGATACAGGCCCCAGATGATTTGGGCAATGATGGAAACGGATTCGCAGAAGTATTCGGATCATAGAGTCTTCTTGAGTTCAGGAAAACGCCTATTTCAAAAACTCGCATATGGATGTATACCGAGTTTCTTACAACGAAGAACGCTACGACCCAACTCACCAAAGACACAAAAGTTACATCCCACTTCATATCTCGACGGTCTGCGAGGGGTGGCTTCTTTCATCGTATTGATGGGACATTATACTGAGGAGAATATTGGGTGGTGGACTGAACCATATGGATTATACGAAGATGGAGCGCCTTCGTCACCTCTACAACTACCATTTATTCGACTATTATATTCCGCCAGACCGATGGTACATATATTCTTCATCATTTCTGGATTCGTCCTTACCTACAAACCCCTCAAGCAAATACATACTCAACAATACTCGGCACTTGTATCTACACTATCCTCATCCGTTTTCCGCCGCGCAGTCCGTCTTTTCTTACCGTCCTTTGTCACACTTTTCATCATGTCTATGGCCGTGTATTATGGGTTCTCCGAACCTCGATACGGCTTTCCTCTATGGTCACTCGCCGCTCAGCTTGGAAGTTGGTATGAAACATGCTGGCATCTATTACAAGCATCCTGGGGATGGGACGACCCTTCTTGGCCTCTGCCACGCTATAATCCAGCACTTTGGACTATCCCTGTGGAATTCGCACAATCAATGCTTCTCTTTATTGTTGTTCTGGGACTTTCTCATGCTCGCATAAATATGCGTCTCCTGATTCTAGCATGCATCATGTCGTTTTGTTTCTGGAGCGCACAACTACACGCAGTTGAATTTTTAGGCGGAATGTTCATTGCCGAAGTTACACTTCTCCAGTCATACAATTCAACCCCATCAAATTCTCCCGAATCCTCCCCTATTCTCCCAACCACAGAATTTAGCGACAAAAAGAGCGAATCACCCATTGCTACAGCCTTCGATACGTCAAATCACAATACGACCCCCAACAAAAGCATTCTCATAAAGGTTTTCTGGATTCTGAACCTCATATGCGGTCTCTATATTTCCTCCTGGACAAACTACCATGTCGATGAACTCCCCTTCCTGTCCACCCTCGACGCGCATACCCCGGAACCCTACAAGGGCCAAAGAGTCTGGTTTTGTCTCGCGGCCTTCCAAATCGTGCTCGCATGCACACAACTTACCACTCTACAATCTCTCTTCAATCTACCGATTCCTCAATATCTAGGTAATATATCATACGCCCTCTATCTCACGCACAATCTCTGCCTGACGATCCTCGAACCGCGCTTTGGACCCCTACTCGAAAACACGATTGGAAAAGATTCGTTCATCGGAAGACATACCTTTTGGGCGGCTGGTTTGTTGGTCTATGGACCGATTATATTGTGGACGGCAGATGTGTTTTGGAGGGGGATCGACGTACCATCTACGAAATTTGCGAGGTGGCTTGAGAGTAAATGTTTGATAGATAAGGAGAGTGAGAATCCTAGGAGGAGAAATACCCAATTTTAGTTTGATTATGGTTTGGGGCTTGGATTGCATGGTTTGCATCATTGGCGTTGGATAGATATCATGGAAAGTGCATATTGAGAGCACATTTTGGTTTTACTATACGAGCGGTATAACTATATCCCATCTCATATATCTAGATACTAGATACTAGATACTTGATAACCGGCGTTTGTAAAGATCAGCTATTTTTATTCAATTAGATTATAAAGAGATTAGATCAGATTCGAAATATCATAAAGAAGAAAATATTAAATGAAAACAATTGATACAGTAATGGTACCTTGCATAAATACCGAGCTATGTAAGTAAGCAGAGCATGAATCCCTCCATCATTATCTGCTAGCTTCAGCATCAACATCAAGCTTCAAACCACAATTCTTTACAAGTCCAAGCTTCACAGTAAGTTTTTGATCTGGCATAAGGTGTAAGGTATAAGGTGTCACCATGTTTTCTCTTTCCTCCTCTAGAAGGTTTTCTCCTTACTTCCTCATCTTCGCCCTTCTTTTCTTAAAAGAAGTCTAACGTCCCGTTTCTTCCTTGCCATCTTCACGAACAGCCAGTTGCCATCCGCAATTGCAATCAATATATATATATTTACTATCCCTTACTAACCCCGCCTTTCACACACCATGACGAGCACCAAGAAAGCCGTCCTAATCACTGGGTACCTCTTTCTTTCCCTATCCCCATCCCCATTCCCTCTCCCCTCATCCTCCTCAAACACATCCTCCACCACACAAACCACAACCAACTAACACCCCTCCCACTAGCTGCACCCCCGGCGGAATCGGACATTCCCTCGCCCTCACCTTCCATTCCCGCGGCTACAACGTCCTTGCCAGCGCGCGCTCCCGCTCCAAAATAGTTGATCTCGCCGAATTGGGTATTACAACCCTAGCTCTAGATGTGACGGATATAACGAGTATTGAGATGGCGAGGACGGAGGTGGAGGGGATGATTGAACGGGGAGAGATGGGGGGTCTGGATGTGTTGGTCAATAATGCGTGAGTGGGATGGATATGTATCGGGAGGGGCAAGATGATAGGGAGATGAGGCGCATGGGGTGCTAATGGTTATATATATGGTTTAGGGGAAGAAATTGCACAATGCCGGCTTTAGATGTAGATCTGAATGATGCGCGCGCATGTTTCGAAACGAATGTTTTTGGCGTCATGGCTATGTGCCAGGTGTTTACCCCGCTGTTGATTAGGCGGAAGGGACTTATTGTTAATATTGGGAGTGTGGCTGCTGTACGTTCTATCTATTTTATCTTATCCCATCCCATCTTCTCACCCCATAATTCAAACCCCCTCTTGACCACAACAAATACTAACCCCCCTTTCCCCCAGATCCTCCCCTACATATTTGGCAGCACCTACAACGCCAGCAAAGCCGCCCTACACGCCTATTCGCGCACACTGCGTCTCGAACTCGCCCCATTTTCCGTGCGCGTCATGGTTGTTATTACCGGAGGCGTGCAATCGAATATTGCACGGGTACAACGGATATTACCACCCACATCACTGTATCTAGAAATCGAAGATGAGTTTCGGAAGAGAGTGGTGCATAGTCAGGAGGGAGCGATGTCGAATCAGGTGTATGCGGAGGGCGTGGTGGATACGGTTGCAGAGGGGGGGAGGAGGACGTTGTGGAGGGGGAGGAGGAGTTGGGTGGTTTGGTTTGTGAGGAAGTGGGTGGGGAGCTGGGTTTTTGATGTCGTGTTGCCGGGGATGTTTGGGTTGAGGAGGTTGGGGGGGTTGGTGAGGGGGAGGGAGAGTTTAAGGGTGGAGGATGGGAACGGGGAGAAAGGGGAGAAAGGGTTGTGAGAAAATGAGGTAAGTGATGGAATGATTGTAAGATATTCGTCTGAGCCTCAGTTTTGGTTGATTGTTTCCTTGTCGGTTGTATGATAGATGACCGGATGCAGTTTTCCGTGTACTATACAATACCCCCGAATAGAATGCAAAGGCTAAGAAATTGTATAATGTAGTCAAGGCACGCATTTTGACAAAAGAAAGATCTATTCAACCACATAATTTTGGTGTATCATTTTTCATTTCTTTTACAAGTGTATCTTTTGCCGCATTAACCAATCGACCGTGTTTTCATTTACATTTCCTTATCCATATCCATATCTGTATGTACCATAACCAATCGCCTTTCTCATACCCAATACAGAGTGACCATGCACTCCAAACTCCTGCAGCAAAATATCCTCAATACAGACGGGAGTCAGCCTCTCTTTCCCCTCCCTCTCACCCCCAACTTCTACTCCTACTCCCCCAAAAGCACACTCTCCTCATCCCTCCCATTAACCCAAACCTACTCCACACACCTCGGATCCGTCTTCCCCACCCCAATCGTCACCGCCAAAAGATTACTCTCAAACCACGTCGGCCTCATGCCAAACCCCTCCAATCGCTCTCACCATTTCAAAAATCGCTCAAAATCCACATTCTTATCATCCACCAAATGCAACTCAATCATCATCTGTCCCACCGGCAACACATCCTTCCCCGCTTTCTCACAAAAATCCATAAAAGCATCCAGAGCCGTGTATTCCGACCCTTCAATGTCGATCTTTAATATATCGATATAGGTGTGGTTATTTTGTAACATGAGTGTTTGTAAAGTGTAAAAGGGAGGGGAACGCGTGGCGTCGTCGATGGCTCCGAGTCCTAGTTGCGAAAAGTGCGCGCGTGGAGCGTGGGAGGGGGAGAGCTGGGGCCCGAAATTTAGGACGGAGAAATCGTAGGCGTGGATTTGGGCGGTGGGGATGCGGGTTAGCATTTCGGCTTCGAAGGTCGATTCGTCGTTGACGCCGAAACTGTAGATGGTGATTTGTTTTTCTTTGGGTTTGGATTGGGGTTTAGGTTTGGGTTTGATTTTGATTGCGGTTCCTTTTTCGGTTTTGGGTTGTGACGGAGGAGAAGGTGGAGAAGAAGGTGGAGAGAAAGAAGAAGAGGAAGCTGCATATTTCTCATACAAACTCATACCACAAACCCATTTTCCCCCATCTCCCAATCGTCCCACCCGCTGGATATCATGCGGACATGTCCACGTCGCAGGAAAGAAATCCCACAACGTATAAGGGGTTTTATCAAAATCCGACACCTGCTGGGCGGGAAAAAATGGAATGCGAGGGTATGAGGGATGCTGGGTCGCCATTTCGTGGCGCGAGTTCACGGAGGTGAGCCAGCTGGCTTCGGAGCGCGCCATGCGTTGGGTGGTGCTGAGGGGTTTGGAGTGTGGGTGGGGTTGAGAGGGACGGTGTAAGGAAGAGGAGGAGGAGGGGCGTGAGGGGAGCTTGAGGGAGGATTGCTCGATGAGGACGAAGAGGAAGAAGGCGAAGGCGAGCCAGAATCAGAGACCGCAGACTAGGGGTGGGGGAGTTGTTAGTTGGGTTGGGGTATGTTATGGGATTTATAGTTGTTTGGGGTTTGAGTTGAGGATTAACTAGATTGATATAGAGAGAGAGAGAGAGAGAATGAAATATGTATATTACATACCTTGAGCAACTCGTAAACCCATGTTGAAGTCAGATTTGAAGATCAGATCAGATCAGATTGAGAATATGAGATATGAGATGATGGTGTATTGCAAATGTAAATGTAGAAAGATTATTGAGATGTGAGTATTAATTCCCAGGTCGACTTGTGCCTTGACTTGTATCTTGTAAGTCTATCTACGATAGTTGCCGAGATACTCGTATATGAAAGACCGAGTTTGCGATTGTATTGTATTGTAAGTAAAGAGGGGAAAAGAAACGGGAAATAATGATATGATGTCAATGGCAACTATGCTATTCTATTCCCATACATTCACCACATTCCAATTGATAAGGAGAACGTTTTTTTCAAAAAAATCTCCGGAAAGAAAATTTGGGAACAAAGTAAAGTATGAAGTATGAAAGATGATTTGATTTGATGGATTGTGATGCACCCGTATAACTGTTTGTTTATTTACTACAGAAACGTATTGGGTTGAAAATGAAATAAATAACAGATAACAAATAACAAATATGCGTGCGTGAAGGATATAGATGGGATGGGATGAGATGAGATGAGATGAGATGCAAAAATGGCGGAAATTCAATACTCGAAGAAAACCAGAAAGAGAACAAGAAAAAACAGAAAACAAATAGATAGGAATCCCCAAATATACCTACCTGAATTCTTCCCACTCTCGAACTCTACCTACAAGTAAAAGCAGCTCCTCCTCGATGGATTCTAATTCTATCACTCGAGTAGGTTCATCCCATCATTAACATTAATCATAACATGCTCCAACTAAACTAAAAGTCTAACTTCAATAATTCGGAGTGTGAAGGAAGGAATACCGGTATATGAAAACCAATTGCTAATCCCAACAGACAAGCTTTGTTTCATCATGATCCTTAGATGGAGATGGAGCTTTAAACCCCATTCTCTATATTCTGTTCTCGAATCTCGAATCTCTGATCCAACTATTTCAATAGATGGTGAATATCAGTATTTAAAACATCACATATATTTTCATTTCCAGCTTCATGCCCTAACCCCCTAGCCCCTAGCCCCGCGTTCAAATTGGTAAACGAGCGAGCGAGAGCGAGAGCGAGACACAATACCTAGACATACATCCCAACTTAGAAAACAACTAATTACCTACTACTACCTACCTCCTACTACCTACTATCAATCAACATAAACCTATATCCATTTATTCACCTCTCTCCAAGCTCCCCCCCCCAAACTCCTCCCTCCTCCCTACACATCTCCTCATCTAAGCTCATCCATCACCCCATACCCACCACCTCCCTGGGGCCTGAACATATGTCCAATACCCAATACCCAACCTCACTATTCAGTAAAATTAGTACATTACTATACTTTCACCACTTTCACCACTTTCACCACTCTCATCACTCTCATCACATAACTATTATATCGGCATCAGCGATAGTATTAGCGTTAACCCAGTACCGTATCAGCGTCAAAGGTAATCAACCAACCAACCAACCAACCAACCTAAGCTAGCGTCAACCGCGCCCATTTTCATCTTGGCGGTTAGCCATATCATACCCATATGAATCTCTCGGGTGGTAAGAAGGTTAGGTAGATAGATACTAGGTAGGTAGTTTGGGATGTATATGTATTCTGTGAAAAAGAGAGAAACAAAGTGATAGGAATATTGTATTGTGGATTGATTTGCCTAAATTGATTACCTGAATCCTTTCATTCAAGAGGATTTCAATAAAATGGAGATGAGGAGAAGTAGCACTGTATTGTCATAACATCATTGCTATTGCTATTGCTATTACTTCATTCCCACAACGCACAATACATGCATTCAATTAGTGTCTCTCTGTATTAAACTACTACCGGTACTACTACTACTACTTGTAAAAAACCTCAGAATATCCAGATAAAACAGAGGAAAGTAATATCCTTCCAGATATAGAACCCCTCATCGTTCATTCTCTAAAGCTCGCAAACATCTCATTTTCCTCATTCAAATATCGTACTTTTCATGCTGGCACTATCGCTATAGGTAGGATATCATTTCGTAAATAATCGTGATCTCATTTCATCCATCTCTGTAGACGGAGTTTCCTTTCATACTCTCATCAATATCATTCTCAAATCTTCAGTAATATCACATTCGTGATGCTGAATCAACCCTCATCTTCATCCTCTTCAACCAATGCCGGTGTTCTTCTTTCAGTTCTTCGTTTTGGTCGTCTGTGTCGTGAACTGCTGATGTTACTCGCGGAATCATCTGGAGCCAATTCACTCTGCATCTCATCTTCATCCCAATCTGCCTCACTCATAAATTCGCTGCCACCTTCGGCCCAAGTTGGTCTCTCGTATCCCGGTCCTAGACCTGCCGAATAAGGACCAGGAGTACCAACAATGATCTCTGGACGACTCGTTCGTCTAGACTCTGCTGCCATGGATAATCCAACGCCACGTTCACGAAGAGCTTTGCGAACAGCCTCAGCCTTTCGATGCAGACCTTCAAATGCATCCTCAAGAGCCTCCATTCCTACATATATCTCACGCTCTATTTCAGCCAAGACTGCGATTTCTGCCTCTTCATCGTTGGAGACTGGATGTCTGTACTGCTGGGATGGTGTAGGGCCACGAGAACCATAACTAGCCGACCGAGGTGAATATGGGGTGTTGTTACGCGAAGGGCCTCTCATTGCAGGCGATGGTCCTCGGTAGCCATTGGGCGTGGGACCCCGAGAGGGGAACTCGTCGATGACTTCATTGTCAGCTCCAGACCATAAGAATCCGTCGAATCGGCCAGATATTAAGATTTCCCATTCCGACGGTGCAATGCCAGAAATAGTTGCGAGAAGATTGTGGATATGAGGATTCTTTAATAAATATATTGCGACCTCGGGATCTCGTGGAGGAAGTGGCAACCGATACAACCGTTGCATAGACTGTACAGTTCTTATCATGAAATCAGAGCGTGGTTTTCGTAACGGAGTAGGTGCTCGTGAAACGGGTTGTAGTGTGGTAGAGCCAGTAAGCAAAGCGTTGAAGAGGGGTCGGTCATGGTGGTTGAGATGAGTCAGTATAGCAAATGAAAGAGTTTCATCATCGACCTCTTGAGGAGGTGCAGATGTTGTTTCGGGGCAACTTGAGAGCCATTTATCAACGGAAGCCTTTGTTTTCTTCGATTGTTGTAGGTAGTGTTCGCGAAATTCGTCTGCAACATCAGGGTCGATCTTGATAGGTGATCCAGGCCTGTGATGACCTGATATACCAAGACCAGCTAGATCATCGACTGATTTCGCACCGAGTGACGAAAAGTCAAATGAAGGCCATTCGGGAAGTTCACGACGACCACTGACCCATTCCAACACTTCTCCCCAAGAAAGGCCTCTACTTCCTTCATGAGTATCAAAATCCACATCTTGGCACATAACACACAAGCAACCATCAGATGATAAATCTCTGGCAAAGACATTTTCCAATCGATCAAGTAATCTCCTCGCAACGGAGCGATATCCTGTAGCAACGGCAAGTGATCCACTCTTATTGATGACCGTTTCGTATTGGTCCAGGATATTATAGTATGGTCCAAATATCTTCTGTATTTCCGCAGGAGGGGAGGACCTGGATGGATTTGGCGACTGAGAGGAGGAAGAGAGTAAGGTCTTAGGAACAGGACGAACCAATCCGCCGTTTTGGAGGAGATAATCGACGCTAGGGATGTTTAATGGTAAATTCGGGGGAGGGGGTGGTGGAGGAGGACGTGGAGAGCCATACACACTAGATTTTACAGAGGATGCATCAAATTGCATATAAGGAGATGGAGTAGGTTTTATATTTGCGGCTCCTGGAGGAGGGTATTGAGGAGTCTGAGTCGGGGTCCTTGGTGAGGAATTCTGTGCAGATGCTGGGGAAGAATCTGTATCAATATTTGTAGGTCTTCGACGAGACGTAGGGTGTGATTGCCGTTTACCTGCCACGGATGTGACATTGGAATCACCATCAGAGTCCGGATATCTATTTTGATGTTGATGCTCATCATATCTTTCGGTTTTGAGAGATCTTGAGCTTGAAGTCCTAATTGGTGGTCTAATGGGTGGTGTACCGGTCTTTGATTGTCTAGATTTGGATGATGTTGTCGATCGGTCTTCTTTCTCCTTTCTTGATGACTTTCGGTGTTCTGAACTTCGGGAACTGGGCCTTGATGACATTTCGGAACCCTCCTCTTTGACCTTGTTCACCCTTGTCGATGTAGATTTCTGTCGGTGTGTAAATTCGGTATCTGGTGGACTCGGTGGTCTGCGTTCTTTTGTAGAACCTGTCCGATCAAGGTTCTCTGCAGATTTCGATTTATGCTTCTCGGAGTCGACGTCTGTAGCTTCTGGAGTGTAAGGTACAGCCTTCGACTTTGCAGGCCTTTCTGAAACATAACTATTTACTGCCTCCTTACTGTAGTTTTTATTGAAACTTGGATATGATGATGTACCTGGTGCAGATGAAGTCCTTGAGAGTTCAGGAACAACATCTGCCATTGTAGTAGTAGTCACTTCAGACATTCCTTCGTGTTTCTCGTCTCTTGTTTTATCCTTCTTCCGACGATGGGATGACTTGACAGACTCTCCAGTTTCAGAATCTATGAGCTTCGGTCTTGATTTGTGCTTTCGATTTGGATCTTTGTCTTTGTCGCCTTTGGAAGATCGGTGACGCTTTTCTTGTGAAGTTTGTTCGTTCTCGACGTCAGGATCGTTATCGCGGTCTTTATGAGGCATTGCTAATACGATCTTAATTATTGAGATCTAGTAGGCGCTTAAAACTTGATTTGTTGGCGTCGCATGTGGAGCAAAAGGCGAAATGGGACGAATTGGGCGAATGAACGGCGGTGAGCACTAAGGCTGCAATGGGATTCCCGAATGAATTTACTACAAGTACGTAGTCGTTGGGAAGTCCGAAGCAAACGGTTGCTATGACATCAAACCAAGCAAGAGTAAGGGTCAAGCAAGCAAGCAAGTGGAGAGAAGATCAAGTGCGTGCAGAACAAAAAGAACGTGTAGGGCATGAAACTTCAGGAGGAAGGAAGGTAGTGGATCGAAACTAGGATCGTTCATACGTTGGCACTGGGTTGGCAGTGATAGGTGAGGTTGGGTGAAGGTTGTAGATTTTGCCGACGTCGTGGGGGAATGAAAGGAATGTTGCTTTGGGAATATAGTAACAGTAAATGATCGGTTATCGTAAATGATACATTCATACAATACTGTATACACAATTCGAGATGAAGTGACAGGAGATTTAAAGAGTGATTGAATGAGCGAGTAGATGAATAATAAATCATTCTATGGATAGTCCGTCGATTCATAATTGTACTGTAGTGACTTTTATTAATGTGAAATGTGATGAGTTGAGTTGAGTTACCCCTACCGAGCATGTCTATGTAACAGTAATCAAGGTAGCAGCGGCAAGAAGGATAATGGCAGCCCAAATTCAGTATATGTTAGTAGTTAAGATAGATAGATAGGACTCATACGGAGTACAAGTAACAGATTCGATGTTAGCCCAAAGGTAATAAGGTTCTATAATATTGAATAACTCGTACTTGGCCTTGGGCATAGTATGACAAAAGGGGGGGGGGTTAGTAGGTAGGTAGTAGGCAAGTACTGGTACGAGTTACTGTTACTGTTACATATAGTTCTGATTGTCTATATACCCGGTAGGTGATTCTTCTCGATGTTTTTAATCGTAGCCTCGCGCTTGTACCGATAACTCTTCCGCTCGTACCGTTCCAACCTAGCCTTGAGCCAAACCAAACCAAACCCCAAAGAAGAAGAAAAAATGGCTGGGGAATCCATAACTTCAATAATTACCGTTTACTACTTGTACTATTTTAATATGCACAACATTATTCAACATTATATCCTCTCCCTCTATATGATCTCCTCTTATACCGACAGTATTGTACTGATACATCACCTCTGATACAACACCTCTTTCAGATTATAATCTTTTCCATTCCACCAGTTCTAAGATACCTTTCAAAGGTCTATGTTACACTATTTCACAATTGGGTCCATCTTAAAGGAACGGTGAAGAGCTTTTCGCCCAATCTTTTGATCAAAATGAAGGGGATGGTGGCCGCATACTGGTCGTTCCATCGAATCCATACCCCTTCACTATTATCTATCCACTTATAAAGATTCAGCTATATCCATATCCACTCAATTTGAACTTATGTTCATTTTGTACAACAACATTGATTAAAAGAAGGTTATGTCCCCTCGACTCCTCGAGATTTGTTCCAAGATCCAACAACACAATTTGCTTTGCTGGTTATTGCTAGTTATTGCTCAATTTAAACCCTGTTGACATATTGACAACTTGCAGGGGCTCATTTTTCTGCATGTGTTGTATGCGAATGTTCTGCCTTTAGCTTTAGTTTTCTAAATTCAACCTATCATTCAAATTCATTCTTTTCTTTCGCATTTCACGGCATGAATTTCCGGAATCATACGTGTAACTAATGATACATGATACATTTTAGAGTCTAAAATATCATACAGTCTTTTGAAATCCACTCTCTATTCAGAGCCCAAGTGGAATTATACCCATCTTCACAGGGGTGCTTGACGCACATCCAGTCGCGTCCCTCGAACATTATGGACCAAATATCAGACTCAGCCCAGGATAACGGTGCACAAACGACACCAAATACTCCAGAGTTGTTGAGTGACGAGGTGAGACTCCGAGAGAGAGAGAGAGCCTTCGAGCCTTCACTTCATGTCATCAAAATTTATACATTCTGACTGAATCAAAAGATTAAATACCATAATATCAGCTCACCGCCATCGTCCATCTCCACAAACACGCATGATATCTCCCGCGCAAGGTATCACATGAAAGAGCTCGAGACTTTTGCAGTGAGGGTCGAAGAGGTAAATATAAATTCATAAGAAACTCGTATCACGGACCATCAATGTTTTCTTTGATTTGTCTTACACAGGTCCTTTTCTTTTATGGCTGCCACTTCTTTGCTGGTACACCAATAACTCTTCATATCTCTCATCTCCCTATGCAAAATGCTAAGATCCAATGGAGGCTGCTGCGAGGGCTTTCCCCAATCGTGGGCGGTCACGTTATGCAGAAGTTTTAGTTGTCTTGATAAAGTGGGAGGGTAGTGATATAGAAGCCCAACCAGAGTTCAATGCTTTGCGTTCTATGTTCGAGATATGCTATGGCTTTACCACCGATACTTGGTCGATACCATCGACGCATTCGCACAATAAACTTATGTTGCAGGCAAGTCCTCTACCGTACAGTACCACCAGATGCATCCTAACATGAAATAGGCAGTAAATTATATAGAAAAACATGGAACGGAAGATAATCTTATCATCATCTACTATGGAGGTCACGCGATCATTAATAATTCTCGACAAACTACCTGGTCTTGCGATCAGGATATTTCCCATGCCTCTGTGCGCTGGTCAGCCATTCAAAGTGTTTTCGAAGAGTCGAAGTCCGACGTGCTCTACCTTTTGGATTGCTGTTCTGCTGCAGGTACAGCGCCTTCTGGTGGACCTGGTGTCATTGAAACCATTGCCGCCACCGATTTCGAAACATGGGCACCGGGTCCAGATCGTCATTCATTTACTAATGCTCTTCTTCACGTCTTAGATGATTGGATGAATCGATCCTCATTTTCGGCCGCTATGCTTCATAGCGAGATTCTCTCTGTCTTCAAACACGAGAAGCTCCAGAAGAGTCATCATGGCGATCAACACAAATCAGAAAATAGGAAGACCCCCATTTACATCCTTGCGTCCGAGGATCCTAAATCTCTGAGCATTGAAATATGTCGACGTACTACTCCAGGGAATAGTTGGGCTGGCACATTGTCTCCCGGGATGACGGAGGCTACAGACATCTACTCCCCAGAAAATTTGCATGGACTGACGCCAGAGGGAAAGTTGGCTGTACCCCACGTGCTCATATCTATTTCGTTGGAAGAGAACCAATTAGTGGACGTGGAGGCGTGGCACAAATGGATTCGCCAATTTCCTGCCTTGGCGCAATTCGCTCTTGTGGAAGGAGTATTTGCGAGCCATTCTACTATCATTCTGCTGTCTTTACCAGTGCTAATTTGGGACATGCTTCCGGAAAACTTAGCTGTATCTTTCGTGGCATTCGTGGAATCTAGAAATCTTTTATCTCAAATATCGGAAAAGTTAGGCGTGGAAGTTCCTAAACAACAGCAGTCGAAGGACTTTCGAGGTAGACCAGATTCTGATACGCTTCAAATTCCACCTCCGTTGCCCCTCATTCAGCAAATCGAGCAAGCTCTCCATAAACAAAAACAGCAAACAATGAAGGATTGGGAAACCCACTTTCAGAAGGAGAAAGTGCGTCTTGAAGCAAAAGTTCAAGATGCTCGTGATGACGCTCAGAAGAAAGAACTTGAATTTTTTCAAGAGAGGAGTGCATACAGAGAGATCATGGAAAGAGATATGAGGGAGGTGAAGAAGGAAAGCCAAGTTATTAAGGAGGAAGCAAGAAGAGCATGGGAAGAATTGGGTCGATATGAGCACGAGGAAAGAGAAAGGACAAGATTACTTAGGGATGGTCAACCAATCACCATCGGTGGAATTCAGGTTATTCCCATGGGCGATACAGAAGAATCAATCTTCAAGGACGAAAGAGGGCGCGTTGGGGATGTTGCTGCTTGGGTAGGCGGCGTCAAATCGGAGACGTCCCAAGTGCCTAAAATACGAGAAGGCTCGAGACCAAGAGGACCTCCAGAAGTACTACAGGAGCGACAATATCATCAGCCCGAGTCTATTCCCGTCACAAGACCAGAATATCCGACGAAGCACCTTCACGAATCTCATCCCAACCATTATATTGAACAATCATCGCCAATTCACCACAAACCCGGCGACGTACCTTTTGATGTTTCACTGCCTTACCCGCCACCTGGTCTAGCCAAGCCAAAGTCCAATGCATCTCTCTCAAAATTTAGAGAGAGGAGCATTGCCTCATTCAAATCCATCGCAAGCGGAGTGATATCACCACCGGAGAGCATTGCAAGTGAAGAAATGGACGAGTCAACCCATGAAGAATACGAAAGTGCTTTGAGTGGCGGAAATGATGACGAAGATGGATTAGGGAGAGGAGATCGCGATTCGGTGGACTATCTGCAAGAATTTCTGGACGCAGGCGACGATGCACCATGGAACTTTCCACGACAAAGTATCATAGAAGGTGATGGTGCAGTACCTCAAGACAATAGAGATAGGGACCATAAGGTGCCTGAGAAAGTTCTCGATCCAGATCAAATCACCCTGGAGCCAAAATCTTATAGATCTGAAAGTAAAAAAGAACCCACAAAGGCGAAAGACTCCGAGCCTACCGCTCTCCTTGATTGGGAGAGGCGTGGGATGCAGCAAAAGTTGGCTGAACATGCGCTGCCGAGGCCAAGCCCAGAAACCGCATTAGAGCCTACTAGCCCTGAACCTACGAAAGCCAAAGGTGTGGATCCCTTTACCCTACAAGTCTTAGAGAAGGGCATACCACAAGAGGTGGTCGAGCGAGTTTTACCAGGACAAGTTACTCCGCCTCGTAAAAGTCTCGATCTTGCGTCAAGGACAGATGTCGGTCCTTTGACATTACAAGCACTAAAAACATACGAGAAATTACAGGAAGAGTTGGAGACTCATCAAGCCACGAGACGACCGGTCCCGGAGCGGCCAGCCGACCATATTCCCAACAGACTTTCGCATATAACTGAAAGGGATGGTGATTGGGAACCCAAGAGTCCTGGCAAATTAAGCGCAGTTGGAAGTCCACAGTCGAAGCGCAGGGACGAGAAGGTTGGGGACAAAAAGGCACTGGCTGCAGTAGAAGAGGCTATCAAGAAACTTATCATACCCGAAATGGAAGAGTTGAAGAAGGAGTCCGAGACGACAAGGAAAATATCGGACGGTCCTGGCACTGGCACTGGCACTGGCACTGGCACTGGCACTGGCACTGGCATTGGCACTGGCATTGGCACTGGCACTGGCACTGGTCCTGGGACTCTCAAAATTCCTTGGGATAGCGATGAAAAGAGTGTGGGGAGGACTGAGTCAGTGAAACATGGCAAAGGTAAAAGCAGCACAAAGAAAGCCTTCGAAGCGGTTGAGGATGCTATTAAGAAGGAAGCTGAGGCATTGAAGAAGAAAGAAGAGGAAGAGGAGGAAGTGGAAGCTTTGATGAAATTGAGAAAAGATCAGAAGGATAGAAAACGCAAAGACGAGGAAAAGGAAAAACCCAAACGAGAGGGAGATGAGAAGGATGCCGCAAAAGGTTCTTCCGGTCGTGATGTGGACCATAATGCTCATATCCACTTGGAACAAAAGCATGCTGGCAAGGAAGTGTTGGTGGATAGTGAAAAGGCTCTTTCGGCAGTTGATGATGCAATCAGAAAACTAATAGCCCCAGAGTTTGAAGGTCTCAAGAGAACGGATTCCCACAAGAGTCATAAAAGCCACAAAAGCTCAAAAAGCCAGAGACACGAGAAATCTAAGATGGGAGAGAACACAATTCAGCAGCCACTCCCAAAACGTGATGAGTCTCCGGTGAAGGAAAAATTGGAAAAAGGTCATCAGAGAAAACACTCGATCCCAAAACCTGATGATGTTCCGGCTAAAGAGACGAAGGAAACGAAATCGAAGTCACAAAAGGTAACACACGTCGAGCAACAGAGTGAAGAGGGAACAAACTCAAGCGCGCCTCCTCATAAGGAAAAGAGTGAAAGAGGCCTGTGGTGGATGGAAAGAAAGCCTCCCAACCATCAACGAGAAGAACAATCCCGGGAACATTTACCGTCATCATCATACTCACAAAAGGACAAAGGGAAAGCTCAAGACGTCCCCTTGGATCCTGTTCCCACTCCACCTCTCGAGTTTTCACCAGGAGCAGAGGCCAATGACGAGATAGGTATCCTACCTCGTGAAATCGATACTCACACTTGGCAAGGATTCAAGTTTGCCAATCGAGATGTCACACCCTCCATGTCCTCTCTACCAACCGCCATTCCTCGTTCGAGTGTCAATACTAGCACGTTTCCATCCAGTCCTAACGATCCATGGTCTCAATCGGAGCATTCCTTCGGCACTATGCTTCCACCTCGTACCTCACTAGACGGCACACGCGATCCCCGCACCTCATTAGACTTTTCACGCAACGAATCGCCGCATAGTCAACTCTCCTCTACCAGCAATTTCAACGTCTACAGCCAATTCCCACCACTTCCCGAAGACCGCGAACGTCCGCTTTCTACACCCACAATTCCTACTCCCTTTGCAAGGGTACCCTCTCCCCCTTATTCGCTTCCTCGCTTCAACCCTCACTACAACCCAAATAATCCCTACTCCCAATTCGCCCAATTCGAACAATCCCTCTCAACACCCACTTTACAAAGAATCAGTACCGGGTCATCCTTCCACTCATTAGACGACACGGCGCGTAGCATCCACAATATTCCCATCACCAGTCACCCACCTCCTGCGCCCGTATTCGGTCCATCAACACACAACCAACACGAACACCAACACCAACATCAGCATCAGCACACCCCCATCTCCGTCATCGAGCCCGACTCCAACCCCAAACACTCCTTCACCTTCACGACCGCCCCACACCCCTCCACCCACCAATCCCCCCCATTCTTCCCCGCCGAACTCCCCGCATTCCCCCATTCCGTCCCTCTATCCCGCTCAAATTCTAATTCTAACGCTCAACCCTCACGTCATCATCTTCTACCTGGAGATCGCGATCGCGATCGAGACCGAAGAGAAGGGAGATTCTCAACTCAAGCTTCTTATCCCACACAACCGCTCCCGTCGCCTTCTCCTTCGGAAACAGAAACGCTGTTGAAGAATCTTATATTGCCGGAATTGGAGACGTTGGAGAAGGGGGAAAGAGCTAGGATGGAGGAGGAGGAGAGGAGGAGGAGGGAGTGGGAGAGGGATTTTGGGATTTTGTGAGTGAGGAGATTCAAGAGTAGGGTGGAGGATAGAGATGGTGGAGGGTGAAGGGTATATGTGGAGATGAGTTTGTTTGACTTGGAAGTTTATGGGGTCTAATAGAATGAGGGGGTCGGAGAAAATGAATAAGAAACCACATACACACACACAGAGAGAGAGAGAAGAGGAAGAGGAAGGAAGAATGGTAGTAATTGTATATATTCATTACAGATATAATTTAATCGCCGCGCTTGGATGGATGTATGGATGTTATGGATGGATAATATGGATGGGATAATTTGATAACTGCGATATTTATTGGTTCAAATTTGGGCTTGTGTTTATATTTACATTTACATTTACATTTGGAATACAGTACAATAGTATTCACTTTATTACAACAGTATCAAATTAATGAGAATTTCCATTTCAATCAGTATATATATATCTATCTACCTACATACCTACAGTAACTATCTGATGATTCTTTATTCATACTGTTACTTTGTTATTGTATTACATTGATTACAGTTCCATTACTCGATTGCAGTAAGATTGATATCCATACAATCCATATCCATATCCATATCCATATCACACATCTACATCCACAATCCTGACCATCAGAACATATGGAATAATCTATATTTACAAGTATAAGAACGGCAGGTACAGACGAGAGATTAAAATTTGTATATGAAACTAATCCAACTGTTCAAATCTCAATAATGAAGAACGGAAATGTATTCTCTCCGAATCCATCATATCCATCCGCTAGCTACATGACTTATGTGCATTCAACTCTAAATAAGTTGCTCTATCTATTACGACCTAAGAATAAACGCCCCAAATGCTGTCCATTCAGAATTATATAAATTCCAAAGGCATAATCTAATTGCCCCATCAAATCCAATGTACGAATAAGCAATCTATAGACGATCCAATAAACCTGCGCTCTCCAACATCAATACGATTGAGTGGACAGCATTTCTGACACTGGTCTTCTCGATATCAACAGTGAAATCAGCCTTGGAAGGAATTTCATAAGGATCATCAACACCGGTGAAACCCTTGATTTCGCCATTGCGAGCCTTGGCATAGACACCCTTTTTATCGGTCTTTTCGGAGTGCTCAAGGCTGGTAGCAACGTGGACGAGATAAAAGTCACCGTACTTCTCAACCATTTCACGAGCGTGCTTGCGAGCATCTTCATATGGTGCAATTGGGGCAGCGATAACGGCGGCACCGGATCGAGTTAACTCGGAAGCAACGAATGCGATGCGGCCAATGTTACGGGTTCGGTCGGCACGGCTGAAGCCAAGTTCGGAAGAAAGCTCGGCGCGAACAGTCTCACCCAACAAGAGGGAGACAGAACGTCCACCTTGTTGGTTGAGGGTGGTCTGCAGAGCACGTGCGACTGCGTCTTTGCCAGAGCTATGATAACCGGTGAGGAATACAGTGAAACCTTGAGCAGAACGAGGTGGGTGGGATTCTCTAAGAACACGCACAACTTCTGGGTAAGAGAACCATTCTGGAATCTCACGACCAGAGCGAAGTCTAGAACGGAGTTCAGTTCCGGAGATATCGAGAGTGCGAACACCTTGTGGAACCTCGTCCTTTGGTCTATATTCGTCGCTATCTGGGAGGTAGGTCATCATTTGGAAAGGAACGACCTCAATTCCGAGCTCATCCTTGAACTCCTCAACGGCGTATTGAGCATCGTATGGTCCATAAAATTCCTCTCCCTTGCTGTTCTTTCCTGGTCCGGCGTGATCACGTCCAACGATGAAATGAGTGGCACCGTAGTTCTTTCGGATAATGGCGTGCCAAACAGCCTCACGAGGTCCACCCATACGCATAGCAAGAGGGAGAAGACCAAGAACAGCCATTCCGTTGGGGTATCTAGGAAGAAGTGCCTGGTAGACACGGACACGTGTGAAATGGTCAATGTCACCTGGCTTGGTAAGACCAACAACTGGGTGGATAAGAACGTTGGCTTGACGGGCTCTGGCGGCACGAACGGTCAACTCTCTGTGGGCTCTGTGCATAGGGTTTCTGGTTTGGAATGCGACAACCTTGGACCAGCCGAGCTTGTCGAAGTGAAGTCTCATCTCTGCGGGGGTATCTATTGAATATTAGAAGTTTTCTACGATTTGCAGAACTTGAGTCACTTACATCTCAAAGCGACATAATCGTAATGTTGTAGGCGGTTGATGGCATCAATCTTTCCTCCAACGTAGAACTCAGCTGCAGTCTCGTATAAATATTTGACTGCTGGGTGATCGGCATCACCACCGAATACCTCCTTGGCTTCCTTTTCCCTGTGAATCGTTAGATATGTCTTGGTTGTTTAGGTGGGATAAACACACTTGTTAGGTTTGTAAACATCCTCGACATTGATAATAGCAAGGTTTCGGTCGTCACGGAAATCGCGGATAGTAATTCGTGCTCCTTGTTTGATTCCTAACTCCTCGATTTGTTCTTTTGACAGATCAAGGGTAATTGGCATACTGAAGACATTGCCATCTGCCAATCGGTTGTTTTCAACGACACTGTGAAATGTTAGACGAGTAATAATATATTCGGGAGCGCAATCTCGTACCCATTGTAATCTTTCTCGTTCATGAAACCTAGGAGATAAGGGATTAGCGACTGATGCGAATATATGTGTAATGTTGTTCATCATTTGGAGAATTCTTGAAGATCGCGGGGTCATTCTGCCCCTCCATGCAACAAATAAATAAGCGGAAATGACATACCTTCAAGGGGGGAGAAACCACCGCTCAAGATCAATTCGAGATCGCAAAGTTGTCTCTCGGTGAGAACGATAGCAGGAAGAGTCTCAGCCTCTGCTGCCAATTCATCGTGTCTTAATAAATCTCTTGCGAGAAGATCTCTGTTGCAATGGTTAGTTTATTCGCATTCTATCCTCCAACGTATTTATTCGTTTGGTTGATTTCGCATTCTTACTTGAGGATACCACCATGAGGAGAGTTTGCCATATCTGCGGTTTGAAGTAGTGGAAAGAGTGATAAGTTGTTCTTGGTATAAGAAGATATTGAGAGTAAAAAACGGAGGCTATTAGAAAGTCCTCGAGGTTGTTCTATTGTATGTATGGAGAGAAGAGAGAAATGAAGAGAGAGAGATGAACAGAAAGCAAGAGAGCAAGCAAGTTAGAAAAGAGTGGGTATAAGAGAGAGAGAGAGAGAACAAACAAGGACGATTTACTACTTTTAAGCTTCTTCTAATAAATAATGTGTCTACCAAGAGAATTTGATGCTTTTTTTTTTCTTTAGTGAAGCTTCAGTACCCTCACCAGCCTTGTAAGGAACCCGCTTTGGGACAAGCATGACTTAGAGAAAATGACGTGCTCGGTAGGTGTTTACTTACAAAGAGGCGTAAGGCTATCAAACCATGAATCCGAAATAGAACTTTATATGGGGAATATCTCTAGCAAATCTTGAATGCGGGGAGAACGGAAAGGATATGGGGGTGAAGATATAAATTTGGATTAGTTATACCTTCATAGGTAGGAAACGAAGAGAAAGAGAGGGTAAGTAAATCATTTGTCAAAGTGATTAAGGAACTAATAAGAAGATAATATGATAATACTACCTACCTACTAGAGTAATTAGAATTAGATACGAGCATTAACCATACGTTCCGGCACATTGAAGTATGCCACCAACCAACACCTTGCTGTATCTTTAGATGATATGATAGGTAATTAAATTAACGTCTAGATCAACGTTGCTTCTCATACAAACCTAGGTATCTTGAATGCCAAGATACTCTCAAAATCGTTTCCCGTTTTTGATTGAGATAGGCATTCCCTCTTTCCCTTTTCCCTTCTCCACGCGGCTCCTCAACCATGGATATCGCTACTTTGCTCAATAGGGGGGGGTTAGTTCGATTAGATGATGTAGGCCTAGTCGTTACCGGTATTTCAGTTGAGAACTCATATGTGCATGTTTCGAATTCATAGAGGTCATCTCTCCACACTCCATAGTTATTCGGTATGAAGTTACAAAAGATAGAACGTTTGAAAAGAAACCGAGAGGAAATAATTGACGTCACGTGAATCTCTTTCCCATGTCCCTTATCGTTATCTCCGTAACATCAACGGACAATCGGGTTCGGTACTTGCCGTGCTTCATTTTGATGCTTTGGGGAAGTTTGTTGAAGTGACAAACTTTTGAATTTGAAATCCCATGTCCTTTTCTTCCAAATAATATACTACATCAAGATGTCTGTAGTATCAAGTGTGAAAGGTGAAGCTTCGCAACAAGCTCGATCGCTGGTAAGTAACTATTGAATTTTACTCTACAAATGGTTGCCACTCTATATCTCACAAAGTTATTGATGCCAAGCCATGAGAGCAAATGCGAGGTTGATATATACCCATACTTACTTTTAACTCATAGTATCGACAATTGTTAAGACAGGGCGGCCAATTCGCAGCATACAATTTCCGAGAATATGCGAAACGTAGGACGAGCGACTCGTTCAGAGAACACAAAGATGTTCAGGATGAGAGGAAGATCCAGGAATTGATGCAGAACGGACTAAAGGAATTACAAAGCTTGAAGGTACGCTGGGATATATGTTAGCAAAGAAATCGCCACGGCGTTGGAGGGCTTCTGTTGGCATCGCAATCTGGGATATGTGTCGGGCAATGGAGGGGGAATTCAGATATAAAGTTGGACAGGAATTTGAAGGTACAATTGCTGACGGTCTCCACAACAGAGGCAAACTGTTGTCAGTCAGTTCTTCCAACTCGACAAATTAGTAGTCGAAGGCGGGAAAACGGTATGTACTCCCAAGAGGTATCTGCATAGGAAGAGATATGATATTGATTTTCGCTATAGGGGAAGCAATCCGGGAAGAGAAATGACATAGTAAGGCAAAAGGATGAAGGGTAAGAAGATTTCCTCGTGTTGTCGAATCTGTGGCTCACGTTACATAGATGGTGAAGTATCTCGGATGATCGTAGAAGTGGACTTGAGGAGCACTAAAGTCAAGACGTTTGGGCCTGGTAAAATGTATCGCTATACATGGAGTTCGATTGCATTGTGGTGTCTGTCCGGCGAGACATTCTTGATCCAAGTAATTCAGAGAACATCACCTCTCAGCCAACAAATGTGCGCAACAGGTGCTTGAATTGGTACATGACTCTTACTATCGTTCCATGTATGTATACCAGAACCCCTTCGTTGGATTATGTGGGAGAGGGTTGAAGCATGTATGGGTACCTCTTCTAGTCTACGAAAGTCAACTTTCTGGCTACTCAAAAGAGACTGCCAGCTCAGGAGTGCGCTGCATGGCAAGACTTCCTTACGCCAAACCATAATTTGAGCTTCAATAGAATCATCAAACAGTGTCATCGATTTGTAGATAGATCAAACTTGCGTGCCTCCAGGATTAAGAGTTCTTAACAAAATGCATTCGAAAACGAAGTCTTTTCCTCTACACCCACAACCCGAAGCAGGCAGATGTATATCACGTGATCATATTCATGATTGTCGTCATGACAATTTCTATTTCTCTTGAATGTCAAATGTCAAATGTCACTTCCTTCATACCTATTAATGTAATTGTACCCAAATATCAACTAGCAAGTAGGTATGTAGATTCGAGTAAAACGATTCGACTTTTGACGTGTTATCTTTTAACTGATTCACAATCGTGATTGTTTGTACAGTATGCTCAATTGTTAATGTCTTCTTCTATTAGTTTCACGTCCCAGAACCCTCCGTCGCATCGACATTACGACGAATCTGAAACCGACCACAACTCTACAAAGCTCTTTGTAATTAAAGCAGACGATAGTGCGAGAACATCAGATTCAAGATTGGAAGATCAAAGCGAACCAATTCTCTCAAGCCCTGTCGCAATCAAAGTATCGCCAGTTGCGACAGTTAGTGCGGCGGCTCCCAAGTCAAGAATAATAAAGCTCCGGCTCGATCCTACCCTTCTCTGGAACATTGAAAACTCATCCCCTTCGTCGCATAGTTTCATTGAAACTTCACAAAATATTGATATGCCCGCTGTAAGTCCTTAACAAAATCGCACCCACGTGCATATTTGACCGGTCGCCGTTCTCTCGTCTCGTCTTGTGAAGCTGTTATATCGCAATTAGCACACTTCCCCGGAATTTATTGGTCAATGGCTGACAATTTGTCCAAAGTACCGAACAGGTGGAAGGCGGCAGAATCGCACGGGTTATGTTGACCATGATATACTCGAGGGAGTTCCAGTAAGACAATGGCGCCGCGAATTTGTTACGGTAGCGCCTCCACCTCCACAGGAAAGCATTGCTTCTCAAAATGATATTTGGGCATCAGAGCTGCCATTGGGAATGCCAAAAGACTCCCACCTACTGTCACAACACAGTCAAGAGTTACTCCGCGCCGCGCGTTCTGGAAGGATATATAAACGGCCTGCTTCTATGGACGAAAAAGAACAAGATCTCGAAGCCATTCTAGGAGATAAGTTGGACAAAAAGGAGGATGAGCTCAAAGATAGCGGATTCACGGCTCGTGCCTGGAAGCAGATTCCTGGTCACCAGAATGCATCGGATATGAATTTTTTGGCTAAAAGAAGAAAGGGATTGGTATCTGCAGTTTCTAAACAAACCCCTGTACCAACAGTCGTACAAACCACAATTCGCAGGACAGATGCTGCAGGCAATGAGTATCTGGAAAAGATTATTGTACCCCATGGTCAAATTGTCGTAGGGGACGTTGTCTCGCAAACGACCATTCCAGATCCAAATGCAGCCGAGGGTACACCATTCCGCCGCAAGGGTCCAGTAGGCAAGAAAGGAAGACGAGGCCCTGGCAGGGGACGAAAGAAGATAATGCCTACTTCTGCACCTCATATAACTAGCGAACCAGCAGCTCAAAATGGCGATGCGAGTATCTCTAATTTAGAGGCTGATGTAAGTTACCCACAATTCCTTGGAAACGCTTTTGGGCAAATTGTTAATACTATTACAGAGAATCAAGATCGAAGGTGAAGGCAGTACACCACCAGTGAAAAATTTCGATACCGAGATGGTAGACGATTCGAATCCAGCTTCGGATGATGATGACGGGGATGAAGGCGATCAAGGAGATGAAGATGATGACCCCGCTGATGTTTCCAATTCGCCATCAAGACCGCACAGGGACTCTTCCCAAGACCATCCTATGTCAACTATGCTTGAAATACCAAAATTGAGCAGCGCCGACGTCATGATGGGCGGCACCGACAATTACGGACCCACAAAATCAGAACTAGAAAGAGTGAAGGATGAAGGAAGATTCGGTAGTCCATTGAAGCAAATAGCTTTGACTACATCCACTGTCAATACTCCTATGGTATCGCCGACGGAGACCACCATACGGGAGCCCAAATTATTTCCTGCGGGAAATAATGATAACGGATCATCTTATATTGAGAGCATACACCAGGAAATGCTGTCAGTGGTAGACGAATTCGCCCCAAGCGAACTACCCCCTGTACCACCACACCCCACAGAAGAGCATGAGGAGGTATCCATAGAACTCCGTGCCGAAGAAGAGAGGGAAGAGGAAATGCTTCTTGACATTCTCGAAAATGAAGAAAATGCCCAGATTGGCGCAGCATTCTCAGTAGAAATCGACAGTCCATTTCTCGCTATTCCGGCTTCAATTCAATCTCCCGCAAAAGCTTTAGATCCGCCTCCAGCTGAAGCAAAAAGTCCCCAAAATGATACAGTACCTTCTCCAGTACCGTCTCCAATACATGTCGTCGAAGAACCACCTACAGTACACAATCTCGCCACGGCTTCCTCCGGTTCTCCAATCAAAGAGCGGCCAGTAGCTTTGAGTTTCTCTGTGTCTCCATCCAAAGATGAAAAGCAGCCAGTCACCTCAACTTCACCACCGTCTGCGGTACCTGAACCTGCGGTACTTGAAACTGCTGAACATGTCGAGCCTGCTGAATATGTCGAAACTGCTGAACCCGCTGAACCTGCCGAACCTACAAAATCAACTGAGCTAAATGGGTCAAATGAGACAAAGGTGTCAAATGTCGTAAACGAGCCAAACACGCCTGACGATCTCACCGAGCCGGCCAATCCCACATTCGAAGAAGAAGACGATAATGACTTTCTCGATTTACTAGGTGGTCTAGAGAGGAATCTATATGGCAACTCACAACCACCTGCTGCCTCACCAGCTCCAGCTCCAGCTTTAGCTTCAATTGCTCTCGTCCAACCAAACCCTATAGAAGATAACAGCCCAACACCCAAAGATGTGGAGGGTGATACAAATCCAGAAGAGAAGGAGAAGAGTGAGGATATTAAAGAAGAGATTCCAGCATCCTAAGATAGCGATGCGATGTTGTGTACGTGTATTATGGATATGTTTCATGCCCGCCGCCTGTTTGTTTTGTTTTGTTTTTCAGTATCATTTGATCAGGTTTCATAACTATATTTATTATGTTTCTCATACTCCGGAGGATGGATACACAATGGCGCACCAGGCGTAAGCGTATGGTTATCCAAGGCTTTATGGATATATTACGGCCTATTATATTGCCTTGCTTGCTTTTTTTCTTGTATATAATAGTTCAAAGCAACTTTATTGGTTTTGTTAACGTCTACTTGGAATTGGAATTATTCGAATTATTCGTCTTACTAGAAATATTATACATAAATTTATACTCAGTACACACACACTGTAAATCAAAACAAGCTTTGGTTGCATATACATTCGCTATCCTGGGTTGAGGTATACTTGTTAAGTTTGTATAGTGTGTGTTATTATATTGTTGATAGTATTAGAGAGTAGGATAATGTAATTACTCACTAACACTTTTCTACTTTTCAGTTCCTTCTCCTCTCTCTTGGTACCTTTTGATCTTTTAATATTCCTATCCGTCACATACACATACTCGTATATATATACATTGCATACAATCCAATCCAATACGTTTCTTTCATCCTTCCCTCCTCCTTCCCTCCTACTAGTACTCGGCACACTCCTTCTATTCCACTCCTATCCCCTGCTATCCTATCCCATCCCATCCTATCCTATCACCCCCACTAATCTTCCCTCTTCAGCTCCCAACTTCCCCTCCCACTTCCAGCTTCCCATTCAATTTCAATTTCAAATTTCAATTTCAATTCCAATTCCAATTCAATTCAAATTCCAACCCCAATTTATATATTTATATATCTGTATATATATATATATAATATGTATCATCAATCATCAATCAGATTTCTTCAAATCCCGAAACGTGGTTTGAGAGGTTATTCTTATTCTTATTCTTATTTCTCGGTTAGAGATATATATACACATGAGTTATGAGTTATGAGTTGGTTATGAGTTATATACAAGGATATAACCATAGTGAATCAAGGATCCGAATCTCAATCAGATAATTCAATACTTTACTCTACTTGAAAATGTTACTCTGATAATGCCAACTTTGATCAAAATCACAAAATACATGTAGAACAAAAGAATCATTATTGATTTGTCCTATTTGATGGTTTCGTTGTAGAAACTGAAATTAAAGATCCCATATTATGATGCATCCATACCAGGCAGGAAATCCTTGTTCCAATGCAAGGCCATTCCCGCCCCCAAGGCAACTCCAGCCCAAGTATAGGCATACAAATTTAACATAACAGGCAGAGAGTCCTCGTGCAAAGCAAGGCCGTCCCCGCCCATATATGTTCCCAAATGGTTGGCAAATAAAAAGCAGATTACTAAAGACACCTAAATGTCATTAGCAAGAAAGGTCTAGATGGTAGAATCAAGATCTATCACGAATTGTGACATTGATCTAACCCCATCCACTGTCGCCACCACCAGTAGCACCATCGGTTCCCCAACCACTAGCAGCTGGAGCAGCTTCAGTGGTTTCAGCGGCACCCCATGCATCACCCCCAGCATCATCATCAACATTCTCACCACCTTCCTCTTCATCGTCTGAATCAGCTTCAAACTTAAGAGTAGCGAGATCACCGGTTTGGCCATCCATAGTAAAGCCCTCAGGAAGATGTGCCTCAAGGAAATCGGGAACGGGTTGACGGGTCTCCAACAAGGTCTTGACCAAAGCTTCGGCAATATCGTCATTGCGATCATTGTAAAATGAGCTTGCAAGACCCATGTTACCAATACGACCGGTACGACCTGGTCATTCAATGGTAAGTCAGCTGTATAATATTGGCGAGTAAAGGATAACTTACCGATTCGATGAGTGTACTCTTCAATGCCACCATGAGTTTGGGATGGCAGATCAAAATTGATGACATGCATGACATTGTGAACGTCAAGACCACGGGCAGAGACACCAGTAGCAATCAAGATAGGCATCTTACCATTGCGGAAAGCACGGATAGAATCTTCACGCTCGCGTTGAGTACGATCGCTGTGAATAGATGTGCATGGAAGATCATTGTTAAATAGGTAATCATCAATTTCATCGGCAGCACGCTTGGTGTTGACGAAGATGATAGTTCGCGCAGGTGGCGTGGAGAGAAGCAAGTCATACAAAGCTTGACGCTTGCTAGCAGCCTCGACGTAGATGATGTCCTGCTTGATGTTGGAGTGAGAACTACCAGCACGACCAACACGAATGCGAACATGATCGTGGGCCAGATGATCCTTGGCAATGTCACGAGCCATCTTTGGGAAGGTTGCAGAAAACATCATATAATTGATGTTACCCTCTTCTTGATCTATTTACTAATCAGCAAGGTACAAACACGGAGAGATTAAAGTACTTACCACCGCCGTTCATGATTTGCTTCAACTCTTCCTCCCAACTGGAGTCTAACATCTCATCTGCTTCGTCAATGACCATATACTTGAGACGCTTAAGTGTCAGAGCATGAGGACGGCGGATCATATCGCAAAGGCGACCAGGAGTACCGATAAGCAGATCGCAGCCCTTGGCAAGTTGACCAAGTTGCTCTGCCAGAGGGCCACCACCATAAACGACGCAAGGCCGAAGCATGGTACGGTAGCAGAAGCGACGAGCCTCATCAAAGATCTGAGTTGCCAACTCACGACTGGGGCAGACAATAACGACCAATGGCTCAGCCCTAACATAGTTGTCTCGGGTTGGCACATATGTGGCGGGATTTGGTCGAGGTGCGGCAAGCTTCTTAGCCTTGCCCATCAACTTTGACAAGATTGGGATCAAGAAAGCAGCAGTCTTGCCAGAACCTGTAAACATTGCAAGTCAGTGAAAAGGTCCATATTTTTATATTTTTGCAGGAAGGGATGACGTTAACTCACCGGTTTGGGCGCAAGCAACTACATCGTGACCCTTCTTTACAGCAGGGAGGCAGTATTGTTGAATGGGGGTAGGAACATGATAGCCGGCGAGCTGTACGTTCTCAAGCATGACAGGGTGCAAACCTGCGTCCTCGAACTTGCGGATAGGGTCAATCTTGATGGTTCCCTCTTGGGTTACGGTGAGGGTGGTAATGCTAAAGGGTGTTAGCATCATATCATGTAGCCAAGAACGAAGATAATTACTTCTCGAAGTTGAGACCTTGACGAACATGGTTGTTCTTCTTGCCGAACAATTGATCCTCAAGAGCGGGGAATCTGGGACCAACATCACCATACTCTTCATTCCACTCATAGACAGCGCCACTTGAGGCCCACTCTCCATCACGAAGACCACCAACGGCAAGTGTTTCGGGATCGGCATCGGCATCGGCATCGACGGCATCGGTAGCTGGCTCAGCCTCAGCCTCACCGTCAGCATCAGTTAGAAGGGCAGCTTCACGAGCGTCTGCGAGTTCCTTGGTGGACTTGTTGTAGGTATCATAATCGTACTTCTTGGCGGCAACCCAACCGGCTTCTTGAGGATTCTTGCGCTCTACAGCGACGGTAGTATCAGGTGTCTCGGTTTCATCGGGCAAGGCAGCAGCCATACCATCAGTCTCCCACGCAGACATGTTGCCTTTAAGAGTGATCTGTAGAAGATAAAAAGTTGGTCAAATTCAAAAACGATCGCCTGGAATAGAAGATAAGACGAGAACAGAATTGCGCTGGAATGGAGGTGAATATGACACATACCTTGAAGGATTGAGACAAGAAGGTGATGATGTGATAATCTGTGCGACAAGTCAACAATGATGCAATAGAAGTATGGAGCGAGCAACCATAAAGATGATAGAAGAAGTGTTGGTTTGATCGAAGGAAAGGTAAAGTGAGGAAGGAAAGGAAGGGTAAGGCGGGGAGAGTTGAGGGTAGAAGTCAATTTTATTTAAAGACAGCGGGAAATCGATAAACTGATATGAAAGAAAAAGAGATCGGTATGAATAAATGCTCGCGCAATTCAATATCGGCGCCAGCAATAAGGAAGGAAGGATGGATGATGGAAGGATGCCAGAAAGGGGAGAGGTGAAGATATCTATACCAAGGACAGGTTGTAGATATACTCGAGTAGATTAAAAAGGTTAGATCGAGGAACTTACTTGATGAAATGAATGCGAACGACTTCAACCAAAGACGATCTCACAAGGAGAAAGGGATTCTTGACACTACAATAAGTTGTCAGAAAGAAATCAACTTGTGTCAAAGTGGATAGAAGATGTCTTCGAAGATGGTTTATTGATGGTGGTAGTGTGGAATAAACGAAGGGGTAGTTAATAAACCAAACAAACTGGATTTAACTTACAAATCAAGAATCAAAAGGATTTGAAATTTGAAATTTGATTGAAAGTATCAGGTACTTCGATCAAGGTGATGAATAAGGAATGCGAAGAAGGTATGGGGAAGCTTGTGAATCAATTAAGATCGATGAAACCGGTCAAAATTGATGGAGGATATTTCGCAAGAGGTTGTAAAAGAGTAGGCAAGGTAAGAGAATTGTAGAAGCAAACGGAAAACTTTATAGACAAACGGGAGATTTGAAGAAACGAGGAAAGGTAAGCTAGTGTCTCGCTCCTTCTTGATTCTTTGATTGGCTAAATTGGAGAATTCGAGCTTTGCTGGGTGACGAGATTGTGGGGAAATCATTCTTTCCCAAAACAACAACAACATAAGGGCGTGAGGGGAAAAGCTGAACTTGATCAGAATTGGCAACTACCTACTTAACTCCCATAGAAATCTATTCCTTGAGCTTCTAAAAATCAAATACCATTCTCCGCATCTTGGCCGTGATATTTTATCTTCCATTGAACATTAATACTGACCTAGTATTGTCCGTCTTCATGATCATCCTATCGGAAAGGTGAAAGCCGTACTTTTTCTTTTGGCAAGAATTCTGACAACTATTTGCCTTACCTTCAGCTTCAGAAGTAATGAACAACATTCCGAGGCTCTCTCCATCTTGTATACACTGCAGTACAGCGTTCCAGTCTACCTACCTTGTGCTCATGAAATATCTTGGTTCTAAGAGGCAGAATATACACTCGCCGGTATGGATCAAAGCCACCTGGCAGATTCCTAGTCTTCCAATTCCTAGGTATGATCATTAACGTTCCTCTCAGTTTTGCAAGAGAAGAAGAGTCCTTGCATACCAAATTTATTTTCTTCCAGGTGAATCAATATCCGAAATCATCTCAACCTTTGGGCCGACTTTACCTAGGTAATCTGCAGGCTCTCGAAGCACAGATTGGAAGACTTTCTATCATCGAAAGATTGATGTGATGAAACTGATTTTACGCCATTTCCATTGTTGTTGCTGCAACCCTTGTTGTTCGATATCAGTTTTTGCGAGCCATCCAAAAAGACAGATCAAGTAGGTCCAGGTTCAAAAGCTACCAAAAACCATCTCCAACAATCCACACAACTGGACACTGGCTAACACGTTCTACATCTCTTAGACATTAAAACCAAACACAAAGCAGTAACCGTTTCTTCAAAATTACTGATCAAGAATCATCTGTTCGCATCTTATACCGTAGAATGAAAATCTGCAACAGAGATGAATACTACTCGACTTTACTATCTGATATGTTCTTATTCTTACGCTTTCTTCCTCGACATAGCCGTAGGCTAAACTAGTCCATCTCATATAGCCTCGCACTATCTACAACAAAACCTCTTGAGGTTGGTAATTTGGTAATCAGGGAAAGCTAATAGATAAGCTAGGAAGCTTCTGATGAGCCTCCGACAGCCTCGATGAAGCATGAATTAACCCCCAAGGGTATCGTTGGTCGGATAGTCACATTATATACATGGATTTTGGTGCTTGAGACAGGCTTCTGTCACATTGGGCAATTCAATTATGCTGTTGAAGAAGTCTGATATTGTCTTACCATCAACATAGGAGGTATGTACCAATGACTTTATGACCGATCACAACGGCGAACGACCTATTGAAGATGGCTGTTGGTCGTGAAACTAAACAACTCTTGCCGACATAAACTAGGAGGCTTTTACTTTCTGACGTACGAAAATGGACATCCTACCAAGCAGGAAGGAGCTACTGCGTTGAGGGCGAGGAGGGCACTCGACATATTCGAGAGAAAGAACGAATACATGATCTTCCGCAAGAAACATGACGTGCTGACTTACATGGAAGGGGAACAACAGAACCACGTTACCAGGCATATCTAAGCTTTTGAGTTCGAACTCCACTCAATATGTGATTCTTTCACAGACATAGGAAAGGTGTCTCCGCTCCTAGAGCTAGTAGAAGTATGGGAAAAGCCACCCTGGCCATGGAGCCCGTACAATACTCCAGCAAGAACCTCAAAGGCCCCACGAAGGATCCTCATACAGACACACACATATATGCAACCCGTCTTGCTTCTAGGCGGCCCAAATTCTTCATGAGACTCGCAACTACCATGTATCCTCCACAGCTTCGGCTGTCTATAAAACATGGCATGGAGGATCATATAAAGGAAGCTTCTCTATGATACACCATCATGATGTTGCCAATATCATTCTTCTAATCCGACAATTGGCAGCTCAATCATTATTTCAAGCATGCCATGTTCGCAAACACTAGGACGTCATTCACATCCCCACTCCCTCTGAAGCTGGCTTGTTCTAGGACATAGAACAGTCGCATCCCTAGTCGAGAGAACGTACCAAGTCCGCAAAAGTACTACCATATCAGCCCTTGGCCAATGAAATGCGAGATCCCCAGGCAACCCATACTATTTCCGTCCGGGTCACTCAATATTGTGCCATTGTTACGCCTGGTGAGCCTCACATGCTCGAAATGACTCAAACGGCATCAGCGTGCTGGTTTCGAGGTTTGCTGGTTTCGAGGTCGACCAATCCGTACAAAGACATCGTCCTCCACCGTTCGTTTTCCATAAAGAACGCCCGAATTTCGTTTTCCCCTCCGTGAGAAGATCATGTGCGTTGGTTGGAACTTGGTGGGTATGACATAATCGCAGATTCTACTTCTTTCTACTCCCTCATTGCATTGGTGCAACAAGGTGCGCTTCAAACGAGCTTCGCATGAGTGTTTTCGCATTGTGTGGTGTCGTTTGAGAGGAAAGGAGGAAAAGAGGGGCAAGTCAAGCAAGTTGAATTGTTTGTTATCCTGGTTGATGATTACAGGCCCATTAACCATCAACCTTATCAAGCTCCATCCAAGGCTCTATTATTAATGATGCTGATCAAACTGCAACGAGTACAAGTACCATACTGTACATGCATGTAACGATAAGCATAGTAACCTAGAAGTCCAATACAGCAAAACCTCGATATAAGGATATTCGATATAAGGATAACCTCGAATATAAGGATTATTTAAAAAGCCCGATTTTTTTTTGGATATGAAAATAGGGTATATAAGAATAACCTCTCTATAGGGATATCCTTAGGTTTTGAAGATCTCAAAATCCCTATATATTCTTAATTGAGGCTTATAGAATAAGGATCTAGACTTATATAATCATGATATAAGTTCATGTGATAGGAATTTAGACCTATAGGATAAGGATATAAGTTCACGTGATAAGAATTTGGCCTAATATTGCTTTATCGGGATGAATCGGAAATCTATCGGGTCTAATCAGGAATTTGATATAAGGATAACCTCGATATATCCTTATTTTAGGCACTAAAAAAAGTATCCTTATATCGAGGTTTTGCTATACCCTTTAATTTGAATCCCTCTTGTTCCTCAAATAAGAAAATGAAAGGGTTCAAATCGAAAGATTGTCCTGGTATTATGGTATCATGTGGATAACTTCTTCCTGTCGAGTTGGGAAGAGGTGGGAAACAAAGTTCTATCTTGAGGATGTTGGGCCGAGATTACTCCGATGGGGAGATGCCGTTTTTAGAGTGATTAAGAGGGGATGGGAAATGAATGAATAGGATACCCGTATGTCATTGGAATTATTAGTAGGTATAGACCGTAGGTGTTAGGTAGGAACTTAGGTACTAGGCTGTTTTGATTATATACAAGTATTCTTTATATATAAACACAATCACAATCACAATCACAATCACAATCACAATCACAATCACAAATCCAAACTCTAAATAAGATAGAGATATTTGTACTGGTACTATACTCAAGTCTTTCAAATTGTGATTTACTTAGGTATGTACTCGTATTTATTTGTAGATAAATATCCAGGTAAGTATCTAATGACTAAATAACTTAACTACCTACTGGTTCTTACTTTTGAGAAAAGACAATCCTGTACCACAAAAACCAAACCAAATCAAACTCCATCCAGCCCAAATTCATAGGTATCAATCATTCATCAATCTCGGTCTTATTCTCATTCTGATTCTCATTCTTTATTCTCATTCTCCTTTAGTTCATCTTCATCTTCCCTCTTCCTTCTTCCACTCTATTCATCAATCTCCCTTCCCCTCCACTTCCTCATAAATCCACCAATTCTCAATTCTCAATTCTCAATTCCACAAATCTTTCATCCATCCATGTCCATCAACTTCAACTTAAATATCCTTTCCATCCATCCATCCATCCTCCCCTCCTCCCTTCCTCTCCCACATTCACATCCACAAATCAAATCAAACCAAACCCAGCTGCAAAAACCCACGTATGGAGCAAGCATAGCTCAACCACCACCACATCACCATATGTAATGTAGTAGCCCGTAGCTTAGTAAAACCACGAAATCCATACTCGTAAAAGAAAAAGAAAACTCGAAAACTCGAAAACTAGTAAAATTTTCATCAAGTAAAAAAAAGGGGGGGTATGCATCCATCCATCCATCCATCCATCCTGCCATCCATTGCCTGCCAATCCGACATGGAGTAAAGTACTTGAACATAAAGGAAAATAAAACCGATCGTGAAGAAGAAAAGGAAAGAAGTGTAAAGTGTAGAGAAATAAACCATGTCAGGGACATAAGTAGGTCGAAGTTGGAAGTGGTCGAAGAAGATTTAAAATCTGTTTTTGCTGTGCTGTTTGCTGCCGCAGATTGTGTTGTTGCTGCTTCCCAGACTCCGCCGGAATCGATTTTGAAGTTATTGTACCAACATATGCTCACCAAAGTAAGTTTAAGACACATGTCTCAGACAACCCCTTGATAATCATCGTCTAGCCATGCCCTCCCTTTCCTTAAGCCGACTAGTTCTCCACCCCTCATACCAAAGCTCCCGACTCGCCTCCCTCAATTCGCCTCTCCATTCCGCAAATACTGCTTCCTTCAATCTCACAAAATCACAATGTTCAACATTCATCGGATCCGCAAAACCCCATGGGAATTTACGTCCAATAACATCAGGTTCATACATATCCGGACTGATGATTGAGAGGGGTAGATATGGAATCTCGCTGATTTCTGATTCGCGCTTATGGCGACGAATGGAACCCGTAGAATGGCGCTTGGAATTGGGAGAGCCACCCGAGCCCGAAACACGTTCATCATCGGAAGGGTCTTCATCTCTTTCGTCGATGCGGTTGGAGCCGATAATTGGGCTTTCGGGTTCATCATCTAGTCCGAGTGCTTCTAGTGGGTCAAGGTTGGCTTTGCGCAAACTATCCCACACTGTCTTCTTCAGGTACGTCATGTGGGCCGTTGTGATAGTGTCGGCTTTTGCAATGACCGGAATAACTGTGGTTTTTCCTTGCAATGTGCGAAGAACTTGTAAATCCAGATCTTCATCAAGACTGCCAAATAAACGAGGTCCTGATCCAAATGATCCAAAATGTCCATTTCCGTTTGTTGTAACATTCTTCGAATCTTCGATATTTTGGTCGAGACGTGTAGGATCGAGAATGAGAAATACGGCATGAATGTGCGTATCTTGAACACCGGGAGCTCTCATGACTTTCATCTCTTCCGTGAAAGTTTCCTCGAATTTGCTTTCGAGAAACGAAGACATCTCTCGTAGCTGAAGATCAACGACATTTTTATCCAAGCCCTCCGAATCCCACAATGTTAAGCCGATACGTTCACCTTCGATTTCCGCCTCGAGATAATGCGAAAGGAATTTTCCCGACTTCGAGGTGCGCGGAGCAAATATATCTTCTGCCAATGGTTCGGGTTTCGATCTCTTCTTAGGAGGTAGAGCGAGGGAGGTTTTGAGGAAATTGAGGAAAGATGTCTTGCCAGCACCGCGTGCGCCAATAATGAGGACACTGCAGAAGCTGTTAGTAAAAGGTGAGTAGGAAAATTAAAGATAAAACACTTACTTGAATGGAGTAGGATCTTTGCGTCTTCGCACTCTGCGAGGACTATTAATTGTGCTTACTGCACTGCTTGCATAGCTATATCTTCCACGATGCGTCATGCTCTCTGTTCTCGCATACGGATCAACATATCCACCATTCTTAACCCCTGAAGGAATTGAAGGAACTGGCACGCTGCTACTCATTGTGTATGATCTACCCTGAGGATCCATTGAAGAACTTCGTGCACCGTGACCACTATTTCCAGAAGTCGCCGAATCCGGTCTCTCTTCACCACCAAACGATGGAAAATGTGTAGGTTCAGCAAGATCGGGAAGACGAGGTGGAGATCTGGGAATCGCAGCTGCTTCGCGAAGGAGTCTCTCTCGCTCTTGCTCTTGCACTTGAGCCAATTCTTTCTTATTCTTCGAACTTAAATTTCCCGACTTGGTTCGACGAAGTAAGAATCCGAGACTGGAGTGACGAGGTGGGTTGGGATTATTATTATTCTTTCCGTTTTCTGGGATTCCTGCTAATCTCTCGGCCCCATGTGATGGGGAGGAGCCAGCACTCGGAGTTCGTGCTCTGCTTGTAGTAGAAACCATTTTGTAAGGTCGATCTACTTGAATGGGAACGACGGTGTTTGTCGCAGATATGACAGGGAAGCCTTGTTTGATTCTATGTATGGTGAATTTGATTTAAATCTTAAAGAACAAGGTGAATGAATGGGATATTCTGTTCTCGGATTAAATTTCCCTGTATGTCTTTAAATCATTAATAAATGGATTATGGAGAATACAAGGTTGAAAGAAAGTGAAGATAAAAGTAAAAGTAAAGGTAAAGGTAAATAGTTACTTAAAGGAATTATCTGGATTATCTCGCTACTCTTTTGAAAATGAGATTGAAATGAAAGATTCAAATCATTAGGTAGTAGGAGGAGGGAGTTCTTCTTTGACTTATAAGATGAACTATGATATGATATGATATGATATAATTACCTAGTACCTAGATGTTTTGGATGCTTTAAAGCAAATGCCATACTGCATGAATTCTCTGTATTGAATGGGATGAAAAATCTTTATACAGCTTCAAGCAATGAATATACAGAAAATAGATATTAAACATACCGTCAATGATAGATAGATATCAATTGCCTCGGGAGATCCTTGATAAGGCTGTACCGGTTAAAACGTATTAGAAGGTAGCTTTGACGTTTAGTTTCCTTAGTTTCCTTAGTTTCTCCTTGGTGGTTCCAACCTAAATGAATGAAGGGGGCAAGGCGGTGCTGTAGCTTGTGTAGGTACTGGTGTGTGCTTGATTGAAGTACCGAGTACTAATGTATGAGAATGATTTAGATCAATGAATATCGATATTGATGCAGAGATATAAGTAAGTGATGGAGATTGAACTCAATTGATAGAAGTACAGTCCATAAAGGTCTTGTTGATGAGATTCAAACAGGAGATATCAAGTTACAATGGAAGAAGACGATGAGAGAAAGGTACATACATACATACATACAAGTGCAGTAGTATAATTTTTATTATCGTACAGTACCTATTCCATGAATTAGATATTCTGGTATCACCATTTGATACTTTTACTCCCACTTATCTAATCCAATCCAATTCAATCCAATCGACCATATAAGACAGAGAGAAAGTCCTCAAGCAAGTATCCAAGTACTCGTGTCTATCCAAGTATCTATCAAAGTATCCATCCATATGTATATCCAGGTATTGTATCCTTCATCTCCTCATCTCATCCTATCCCATTGGTACAAATTTCCCTTCGTCTCCCCTTCGAATTCCCTCTTCCCTCCCATCCCACTGTCCACACCACTACACAGCGATCATTTCTCAAAACCCCCTCTTCACTCTGTACAATCACTCTGTACAAACCTCCATAATGCATACAATCACCTCCACTTCCACTTCCACTTCCCACCATACATCCCAAACCACCAACCAAAACCGAAACCACCCACTCTATCCCCATCCCTAAACCCCCGAGACCGACCCAGTATCGTATCCACCAGCCTAGCCTAGCCCAGCGCAACCCCGTCCAATCCCGTCCAACCCCACCAGTACCCATCCACATCCAACCCCTGCCCCTACCATCCATAAAACTTCCGATTCAAGACATGGGGGTGTTCGTGTGTTCGTTCGTTCGTTCCTTCTAAGTTCCGTATCATGATGCCACACGATTGGCCCATGGCACATAATCACCGGAACAAATTCTTTTTACCCCTGAATCCTTCCACTCACCAGTGACCACTCACTCGCACAAAGCGATGGCATGGCTCATAAACCACGGACGGGCCCCCCTAAGATCTTAATCATCCCGGCCTAAAATTTCCCATCTTGTTTGAACTCCGTTTCATGTTGAACAATGATACAATGATACGCTAGTCATCGCTTCCCACGTATTTTACAATATTGTATAAATCAATCAATGAATCAATGAATCAATGAATCAACACTATTATAATAGTAAATCTACTACTTTTTTTTCTCTCCAATACTCAAGTATAGCACAGTATTGTACTGTACCATATATATATAACACCCATTCACTCACTCACTCCATTCATACCATTCCATTCTCGCCTCCCATCTCATCCCACATAAAAGATATTTCATCCACTCCATCCACTCCATCCATTGTATCCACTTCATCCATTTAACAAAGGGCTCGCCGCTCGGAGCAAAGAGTAAAGAGCAGAGCAGAGCGTCACGACTCACTAGCGCCATGTATCAAGTGTATCTCCGAGGCGAATGATAGGCAGTGGATTCAGCGGCTGTGGGTAGTGCACACAGATAACTTAGTGTATGTAGTGGAGAACGGGGGATTGATCCAATTATTTTTCCGCATAGCTGCACTGCTGCAGGTACAACTTTTTCTTATCGCATTGGATTGAGGAGAGGTGAGGTGAGGAGAGGTGAGATGAGTAGTGACTTGAATGAATGCGGTTGAATAACGATGATGATTGATTAATATAATGAGGAGCTCGTGTTATTTTTTATTTAAATTTCAGGTTTGAACAAAGTATCAATTGATTATTATTCTCTTATAACTAAAGTATTCATGTACTCGAGGACGGTATCTTCGCTCTCAGACACATACACACACACCTACGATAAAGTGTGACGCCTCCCCATTTCTCTCAATCTCGAGTCCTACATTCGCCAGTCATATTAACTGCTGTGCACCCCAATTCCATTTCAATTGATCGCCATGTCCAATCAACCGCCCATAACCCAACTGCCAGCATACGCTTCCCCAAATTTCCTTTCCCAAACCCGCTTGAATGCAAAGGACCAACTCCTAAATCGCTGGCCAAGGTGTAAGTCTTGCTACATAAACATCACAGGCAAGATTGCTGTAAATCAAAAATGTTTGAAAATGAACCAACTTCGTGCCTCTGTATGGACAAAAAAGAGGGCAGCGATACTGGTCAACCCAAAAGAGTTGAGCATCTCATGAGATGTATGCTTTAGAAGTTTTAAAGGAACCAAAACGCCATCGGTCGTGTGACGACTCTATATCGACAATAGGAAATATGGTAGCATTATTTACGAGTCGAATCGATGAGGTCATAGATCAGGCAGGACTGTAAAGAGAGACGTGGGGACCAATGGCCAAAACATTCGTAAGATGTGGAATATCGAACTCAAATACCGGCAGTGCTTGGATAGGCAGAATTTGGTATCATACCACCTCGCATAACGCGAGGCGGCCCTCGACCACCACGACCCGTAGGTAAAGCGAAATCAGGATTATCATTCAAGAGAACATCCTCTCGTCGATGAACAGGTCTCCTATTCGGCATTGGTGGTCCTCCAGGGCCAGTAGCACCGCCATTCCATCTCGGATTAATCCCTCGTTGTGATACCGAAGTAAAATTCGATCTTTCTGACTCGGCTGGAGAGCGTTGTCCTGACTGAAGCTCTTCTAAAGAATTGTAAGAGTTGTTACCATCTAAATTACTCAAAGAATTGGGATGAAGGTGGGTTCGAGCGTCTTGGTTGTTATTCGAGGGATACCCAGGCGCATGAATAGCGGGAACCGGCGGAGATAAAATTTCTGCTGGAGCTGGATCAACGAAACGTGGGTCAACGTCTTCGTAATAATCTTCATTCAAGGTATCTCGTTGGTGAGAAGGCTCGGTAGGAGGAAGCTCGACAGGCTGCAAGGCCGGGTTCAAAGGTGACGATCTACCTGCTTGTTGGCCCCCCCATGCTTTTCTTGGTTGGACGTATCTGAATGAGTTAGCAAATTGATAATTCGATGATTTAATTTCACTCACTCATCTTGGCTATACCTACTTGTATCGCTAATTAGAGTCTCATGCTTTTGCTGTATTTTTTGCTGTTGCAGTCCCACCATCCCAGCTATGTCCCCATCGCTGTCTCTAAGATTGCTGAATTGCCCAACGAATCCTGGCGGTGAATGTGATGGACTTCCTGTCGAAGCATCCTAAATGCTGAATTAGTATATAATACCAATATTTTATGGCGATCACTACTAACCATCTCGATCGCCTGTCCAACCAAGCCAGCATTTTCCATATGTTCCAGCGGTGGAGGTGACTCGGCACGGGGTAGACTGCTGGGGCTTATTTCATCTGGCCTATATGCAATGTAACCACCAGGGGGCTGCGGAGAAGCATCCCTATATCCACCCATAGGCGTCGAAGTATCAGATGGCCGTCGACTATCATACCCAGGTGGAGGAGGAGCTCTCCCACCACCACCCATTACCATCATTCCATTGTTCATGCCTCCTCTGTAAGGACCCGGGTAACCGCCACCTCTTGGTGGGCCATATCCACCTCTCGGACCATAACCCCCCCTCGGTGGGCCATAACCGTAGCCTCCACGATTCGGACCTGGTGGGGGCCCTCCGTAACCTCCTCTATATCCACCCCTTCCGTAACCACCTCTTCCTGGTGGCATCCCACCTCTTCCTCTCGAATTCATGGAGTTGTTGGAATACTGATGACTTAATGCCTGTCCTGGTGGTCCGGCAGAAGGATCCCGGCTTCGCATACCGTATGCATTTGCTCCTAGCGGCATCATCGGTATGGGGTTACCATACTGATCCATAGGTGAGCTTCCTGACTGTGGCAATCCGTTGTACCCATCCATTCCTTGACTCCTAATAGATCCACCGGGGATGTTATTGGGAGAGTTTTCCGTTGTTGAAGTGCTGGTTGTCAGAGGTATTCGTTCATCACTAGTTCGTTCATTCTTGTTCGCATCGGATGTGACATATGGTGGTAATTTCTCATTTATCGGACTACTGTTATCGGTGGCTACCGGGTTCATTTGCTCAGCTCCTTGACGATTGTAGAAATTCTCCCCATTCATTTCTGCGTTCTCCTCGATGCGACGTTTTCTTGCTTTTCGACTAACTAAAGTTCGGCGCATAGCGCATGATACGATACCACTTGCAGCAATGATGACGGTAGCTGCGAGCACAACATATGAGCCCCATGCCATATGAGGTACGAAAAGTAGAACATCGATAAGAAAGGCGAGGAGGGTGAGAATCAATGTCAAGATGCTCAGTATAAATATTCCCAAGAGGTATCGGGGAGAATGTGAAGGTGCGTGGAAGTGAGCGGCGATGGCTAGTATCAACATGATAAGTGTGAACAAAGCAGCCACTGGATGAATAATGAGAATAGCAGATAATGTTGATCTGGTTTTAGTAGGGAGATCAAATGTTGCTAATTGAGTGGCATCGTAAAGACTTTCTAATCAATCACTTCGCATCAGCGCTGTACTTGACAATACTAAATTATACATGCGCGGAAGCCTGCACAGAAAGGAATATGCCTCGAGAATTCGAACTCACCAGTACTGTAACCAATTTCAACATTGCTACAAGTGTCTCCTTTGCAAAACCCAAAGACTCCAAACTCAACTCCATCGAAAGAGGCCAATGGTATCGACTTTATTATAGGAGTCGATAGAATCGATATGAGCAAACATGCGAATGCTGCGAGCAGCAATAGCGCCAATGGAGTCGCGGGTCTTAACATGTTGACGTCCTGAGATTTCCTTATGCGTAGAAGGCTAAGTATGCCAGCGTCTTCGAGACGCGGGACTTATCGAGGTCTTTCGATCAAAGGGTGAGGTGCCCAGATGAGGTTGACGCGGAATGTCCCTCAAGTCTCAATTCTTGAATCGTATTGATTTTTGTTGCCCTTGATTCTCCCACTTCAGACATCGATAAATGGAATAATTCTATGAAATTAAGTAAAACAAGAAAAGTATAAATTGAATGATAAAGACTGGACGGAGGAATGTATGGAAGAATTGCAGTTTCTTCTTTAGAATGGCCTAAGAGATTAAGAGATTAAGAGTAGGCTAAGCGGGGGGAAAGGGAAAGAAGTTTAAAAGGTATACTGTAACCAATTGTAGATTGTGCAATCAGTAACTCGTATTGACTTTTGGGGAAAACAAGGTAAATGGCGTTTATAGCCACGCCGCCTTCCAAGAATGGTTCCTTGTACTATCGCGTTGTAGGCTTAATGCAAATTAATAAAGGGTTTGGGTGTTATTGGAAAGGATATCGTGTGGAGAAGTTGTCTTTCAATTAAAAGCTGGGGGGGGAAGGGGGGTTGTAGAAGTTCTTGAGTAGAAATTGAATGTCAAAGTCTTCGCATGTTATTGTTTTACGAAAGTGGATGGATAGTTTTTGGTTTTGATGTGATGATTTTTATCTTAATCGTATGGGGCCGTTTCGAGACATTTAATATTGATCATCCTTGAGAGTACAAGTAGAGTTTATGCTGTCGAACAGTTACCGGTAAGTATTGAGTTCTTGACCCGGTTTTCAGTACTCCGTTAGTATAAGTTACTCAGCGCCCCCATTGATTAGAATCGATCTTGATTATGTAGTGTGGTACAGTACTAAAAAGAGAAGGGACATTACCATATTGGGTATTCGAGGCATTCAAAGCATCAATTCCAAGTACTCGAGTACTGCAGACTTATTAATTCTCTTGCGAGCCTAGACCTTGCAATTGAGGCTGTTTCTCCATATTGCTATCTGCAGATCTGCAAGTATGCTATTATAGGTTTGTATTCGAGTAACAGACTAATAATAGTGGATAATTCGTTTTCAAAGATCTCTCAAGAACTTCAAACACTTCACGCGACATCTAGAGTCATAGGTAGGTGAATGGATATCTTCCCTATATGCAGGTATCTTACCAAACTTTGTTTTTGTAATTTATAACTGTGGTATTTCGTATTTGAGTCTTCAACCATCAGCTATAAACTCATCACTTAGGTACGGCAAGCAAGTAAAATAAGCAGCCGCCTCCAAAAAGATAATGCATAATCTCAGATTCATGCATCTTGAACCTTAAAGTCATCAGTGGAGGTATGCATTTGCTCTTATATTGCTCCAAGAAAGAAATTGATGCCAATTATGGGCGAAAGGTCTTGCAGCACTTCAAACACAGCCCTGCAAATCTTTCTGCTGCATGAAATACCGGGACGATCCTTCAATGGGCTCCATCGACGGCGAGATTCCTTGGATCTCAGTCAGATAGGTACATGTGGTACATACAAGTACCGCCCGTATATCAAATGCTTCTCATTTGATAGAGTCTGAAGTTTCCTTCCTTCATCACCTTTGTCTTCAATGATGATGATATCGAAAGAAACGAGCACAACCACTTCGCTCTTGAGTTTATTATTGGAAACAACCTCCACCATCAATCCTGAAAATGGTCCAGAAGATGGGGCTTAGAATCCACACTTCAAGCGGAAAAGCCAACTCCTTCATTATTGGCTGGATATATCAAATACAACTAGAATCTCCGGGACGGGACGGGGTTAAAATAGGCCGAGTTCTTATCAACGATAAGATGTAAGATACTATCTATCTCCACTAGTTTTCCTTCATATCACCGTCATCGATTATTGAAGGTTTTGCTTCCTGATGAATTATATTCACGACAGCTTTTCAACGTAGATATGTCCCTGCGTATTGCAGGCAGGAGGTCGGCGCTCATTGTACCATCATGTAATCAATTATTATTCAATACATTCTCTTCTTCATGCCAAATCTCTCAACAAACACGAAAGCGATCGACCCAATTTTTAATACGCCCCAAGAAGGAAACGATCGGACACCATGTATATACAAAAGTTCCCAGTCGCTCGGTGCAAGCGCAAAGGTATCAACCTTTTGTACCTCCATCACCAGCATCGCTGGGAAAAGCTGCACCTCCAAAACTATATCCAAGAACGATAAAATGGGGGCGAAGACTACTATATGTGTCGGCGGTGACAGGCATTGCCTACCTCATAGACACACAGCTATACGCATCGTCTATTACCAGATCACTCCGGACATTTGGCTTGGGTATATTGGTAGCAATCGATTATAAGCTCAATTTCCGGCCAAATCCAATTCTTGGAGGTGATATTACGGATTTGCATAGGAGAAATGCCGAGAGGATGTTCAATCTATTACACCAGAATGGGGGACTGTACCTGAAGATAGGCCAAGCCATAGCAATGCAGTCTGCAGTTCTACCCCCGGAATTTCAGAAAATGTTCGGGAGGATGTTTGATGATGCTCCTCAGAATGATTGGCATGATGTAGAAAAGGTTATACGGGAAGATTTTGGTGGGAAAAGCCCAGAGGAAGTTTTCGGTGTCAGTTATACGAATAAGCCTGGGAGTGGAATTATTGAGACAAAAGCTAGAGCTTCAGCGTCTGTTGCACAAGTACATTGGGCGAGACTGGCAGATGGGAGAGAAGTGGCAATCAAGGTGCAAAAACGAGAGATTGCTAGCCAAGTGGGTTGGGATCTGTGGGCTTTCAAGTAAGTTCCTCTTGATTCCCAATAAAACAGATCTTATAGAGTAGAGTTTACTAACAAGGTATCAAGAGTAGTGATGAAAGTATACACGTACTGGTTCGACCTCCCTCTATACAGTCTAGTGCCATATATCACGGAACGCTTAATGTTGGAAACGGACTTTGTAAATGAAGCAAATAACTCGGAACAAATGGCCGGATTAGTTGCAGGTGAACCACGATTGAATGGACGCGTTTACATACCCAAAGTGTATCGGGATCTTTCCTCCAAACGAGTCATGACGACAGAATGGATCGAAGGTGTACGTCTTTGGGATAAAGAAGCTTTGACAGCTCCTTGGTATGGTGGGTATGGAAAAGGATCACCTGGAGCCAAAGGGGCCCCATTATCAAGCCCCTCGCCAGCTAGCTCGAATAATAATTTCAAACCTGATCGTAGCGGGGAATGGAGAGGTCGTAATGGCAAAGGTGGTCTAGGCCTCAGTCTCAAAGAAGTTATGACCACCATGGTTGATCTCTTCTCCGCACAAATGTTCCTCTGGGGAGTCGTACATTGCGATCCCCACCCAGGAAACATTTTTATTCGACGACAACCCAATGGCCAAACGGAACTTGTCCTCATCGATCATGGCCTATACGTTTCTATGACTCCCACGTTCCGCCACCAATACTGTCAATTTTGGAAAGCCATCATGACCTTTGATAATACCTCCCTCAATGAAATCACCTCTGCTTGGGGCGTCAAAGCCCCCGATCTATTCGCATCCGCAACTCTCATGCGACCATATGACGGTGGCGATAGTAGCACCAAAGATCGCATCACCCAAGACCTCAAGGGCAAAACTGCAGCCGAACGTCACTACGAAGTCCAAGAGAGACTCCGCCAAGGAATCCGAGACGTCCTCTCCGAAGAAGAAAGCTTTCCCCGTGAACTCCTCTTCATAGGTCGCAACATGCGCATCGTACAAGGCAATAATCAATTCCTGGGCTCCCCGGTTAATCGTATCAAAATGACGGGCTCGTGGGCTTCCCGCAGTTTGGTCGATAGCAAGGATTTGAATTGGAGAGAAAGATGGGTTAATGGCTGGAAACATCTATTGTTTAGGTTTGTACTGCTGAGTAGTGATATGGTGTTTTGGGGAAGTAAGATTAGACAATGTTTGGGTTGGGGAGGGGGTATGGAAGATGATATTGAGAAGCAGATGAGGTTCTTGGCCAAGGATCAATTTGGAGTGGAATTACAACATGATGTGTTTGAAGGCTGAAGAGGGGTGTAGAAGGAGAAGGAGGAGAAGGAGAAAAGAGGAAGAGAAAGTGCAGTGTAATAACAGTTAAAGATTCCTTGATAATAATGTCGGAATATCAATGTAATCGCTATAGAGTATAGTACAGTACAGTAGAGTACAGTAGAGTACAGTAGAGTACAGTAGAGTAGGTAGATATCATGTACTCGTAAGAGTAAGATCTCCACTCAAACCACTCCACACCACATCACATTAGAAATAGCTATACAACCACAATACAACACAATATAAACACAATAAATAACCAAAAAAATCAACCCTATTATACTCGTACTCGAGTAATTAATCCATTCAAATCAGCTGTAAGTGTAAGACATACCTTCTTCCTTCCATAAACTAGCTGCTCGCTACAGTACCACTTACGAGTACATACGAGTACTCAGTATTTCCCCAGCTATACTCAATATGAGTATAATAAAAAAAAATTATTCAAAAGTGCAAATGGGGAACTATTCAATGGAATGGGTCGGTGGTCGCATTTCATACTTTTGAATAACAGGACTTAATTCCCAAAATCGGTAAATTTAAAATTTAAATAATATATGTATACTATACTCGGGCGCGTCTTTGAAGAGGCATAGATAAAAATTAAAATAAGTACCGCTAACTTAGTTGTTTATAAAATCTTATATAATTTGATACAATGAATAATCTAATATCAAAGAATTAATAGACAAAATTTTATTCAAATTCATTGAGATATAATATAATTATAATCGATTCAATTTATAGAATATCGATAAATATCGAAATTTTGAAGATTATTTTCAAATAATTATATTTTTATTAAAAATGAATTTTATATTATAAAAATAGATTTGTTTATAGAGAATTAACTTTTATTT